GGCTGCCACACCTTGGGAATTTTCCCAAGATCTTGGGAATTCATTACCCCATTCAGCACAAAAACTCCCTTTTTTTTTTTTAATTCTCGAGATTTAATTTAAAAAAAAAAAACTCAAATATTTTCATGATTTTGGGAAATCTTGGGAAATATTTTAACAAAATATTGGGAATTTTTTAAAAATTGAGTGGTAGCCCTGGTCTACAGGATATGATCAAATTTGTGTGACCTGCCCAACAAAACTGTACAATTGTCAGAACATAGCCTCAAAGTTAGAATACAATTAAAGGACTGCATTCAAGCCTAGTAAACGAAATAGCGAAACCAGGGATGTGGAAGCTTGAATTTGAGAACAGGACAAAAAGATTAGGACGTTTCGGCATAGAGCCTTCTTCAGCGCACAGGAAAAAAGGTAGACAAGATGTGATCATCATGACTTAATGTCCGAGTCTAATCTTGCTACTATTAAAAGTTGGGCTGTAAGATCATTTGATTTTTTTGTTGACAAACATTCAGTTTTGAATGAACTTGAAAAAAAAAATTAAACCATTTTATGCTGAAGTTGATCAAGACTCATAATCATGTTTGTTTAATGTAATATTTCTTATTTTATGAAGATATGAAGAGAGTAAATAAATATCTTTACAAAAAACGTTTAAATTCTTCTAATTATCCTTAATATATTTCAGTATTTTCAGGGACGGGTATTGCTCTTTACAGAGGGTAAATAAGAAAAAGAATGGTGCGAATTCTGACAAGACAATGAGAAAGCACCCGCTACATCAGGCAGGGAATCAAAATTTAGAAATTTATTTAGTTGTGCTTCAAAACAAGAACTTACAGAACTCAATTCCAAAATTTTATTTGCAAACATTTAGACCACTCTAAATTTTGCAGAACACATGGGGGAGGCATCAAGTTCAACTGAGCATGGGAAAATGTGAGCTTGCCTTCTAGGAAATTTCAAATGTATAAGAACCATGCTACAGTAGCGTGATCTTAAAAGTAAATAAAAAACTGACAAAATCTCATAGCTGAAGTAGAATAAAGTATGTTTTTTTAAATGAAAGGATCAATTATTGAAAATTACTGTCTCTCAAATGGCATTGATGCACCTTATAAAAAAGGGTGTAAACAAAATTTGATTTGAGATTTTTATCATTCCAAACTTTTAATGAAGTGAATATCCCTCGATTAGTCGTAACTTTACAAACATAAAAGTTCTTTAACTGGATGCCGTTTACAAAATGTGTGGCCATTTTTTTTTTAAATTCAAGAATATGGATATGTTGGCTGCAGATAATTGTGGAAGCAGTACACTGGTTGAGAGACACATATTCACTGAATTTTGGAAACAAGGTGGGTTATTCATGATTAAATTAAATGGGTTATCCCTATTTGAGTTCAAGAGGTCCACTCTGCTGCCCTATAACAACACAAACTAAGATCCCATCACCCTTACCCATACACCTAACATAGAAAGTCATAAATGAAACATCACATACTCGTAGGTATCCAAAGTGGAGAGTAGGGTGCCATATTTACTCGCTCTTTGATTAGTTGGAACATTTGCATTATTCTTACACTTTTTCCTCCCGCCTGAAAAAAAATTGTTGTGGACGACCATGCAGAAACCATTTAGCAAAAAATGCCAATTCACCAATTTAAATATTTTGTCCATTTATTTTCTTTAGCAACTATGTACTTAACAAAATTTTATAAAAAGTTACATTATGATATTTTTATGCACCCGACATCACACACGGACAACTGTGAGTTACTTCATATAAAAAGTTTTCATTGAAAACTCCATTCATTAGAAATGGAGTAATGTAAATAAAAATTTGAGCCATTTCATTGTAAGAGGACAGTTCATGTAGTCATTTACTTTTACCTCAAGAAACAAAATGGTAAAGACTGTCAAAGTAAATTGGCTGAATATGTGTATTCACCAAACTGGTCATTAAACAACTGCAGGGCTATTTATAAACTAAACCTTGTGCCAATGCAATATTTAAATGAAAATGGGATACCCTCTTAAGAAATCAGACAGCAAGGGTTAGGGTCAGAACTGCTTTAGTTTATGATGGAAAAAAGGATTCATAAATGTAGCATGCAAGGCAAAAATCACAATTTTTCATACGGTCCCAAAATATGTTCCTGATATGAAAAGTCCTGTTAAATCTTTCGACTTTTTCCATTTACATAAAAGGTATGTGGTAGATATAGACGCGAACTAATTTACATCATAAGTGTACAGCCCATAGATCATTCCCTTGACTTCTATTCTCAAATAAAGTTGCAACAAAAATAACAATGCAGGCATATGATGCTCAAGACTTTCATTAATGAGATATGATTTATTGGTTTTACTGTCTCCATAACAAATTTAATATAAACATAATACTTACATGTATACATTACAATTTTTTTTTTAAACTAACTTTTATATTTCTAAAAAATTTGTTTACATGACCGCAAAAGACAACTGATGTGTTTAAGCCTGGGGCTTGGGACATTTTGAATACACAATTGCAAAATGTAAATAACAGATTTTTATTTAAACAGATATGAAAATGTTTTTCCACTAGGATTGATGTGGGACTTCAAATTTACCAAAATCACATGGACTGAAGGCCAGGTCAAACAGAACAATCATATTCATTGAACTATTAAGAAAAATCACTATGCCTTTTAACAATTAAGACGAGACATTGTTTTTTTTATAAGCCATATTTATGTAAAAATGTATTTTCTTTATTTCATGGAATCTAAAAAAAAATTTCTTTAAAATACACAGGTTATTAAAACTTATTTCATTTACTAAAATCAATTGTGCACATGGTTATTTAATAAAATGTAAAACGTTGTTCACTTTAAAAGTATCAGAAATGTGATGCTTTTGGATATTTTGAAGTGGGGAAATGGCAGACCTAGGATCACTTAAATTACAATTTCAATCTCACACAATAAGAAAAATTGCCAACAAGACTTGCTTTAAATAATTATTCTAAAGGTGGCAGCAGATAATGTACTGATATGCAAAATTTTGTAACAAGCACAAATATTTTACTAGTAGGTCATTAATCTATGCCGCAAACACTAAAGGCACACCAGATATAAATGAAATAATTGGCAAAGAAAGAAAATGTAAGCAAATTAATTTTTGATCTTAAGATCTAACATTGTTTTTAAACTGAAACAACTGGATTTTAAAAATTAAACAGTCCAATCTGTTTTCATCTTCAATCATTTATTTTTTTTTACACTCACAAAAATTTCATTGCACATTATAAAAATGAAGACATAATTCCTTAAATTTTAATTAAAATTTTAAATTAAAAAAAACCACACACAAAATGCAATCATTAACAGTTTGCACACATCACAAGGAGCTGAATAGGCTAGTTTAGGCATCAGGTGTAATAGACAGTAATACTCGGATTGCAGTAGAAGTAACAGTCAACATCACTGTTGATTTTTATATTCTCTCTGTTGCCTTAATTTAAATTATAATTATATTTTTCTCGGTTTAGGGATCAAGTTAATAGGAACAAAATGTGATTTGATGGATAAATGTTTTACTTTTAATATTTTTGTCAACCAGTGTATTTTCCAAACTAAAATTTTTTTTGCAGTGTTAAAAAATTGTCTAAAAAAACTATCAAAATTAAAGATGTATTAAATTGAATTTTAAAAACTATCAATATAAGAGATCTTGGGGGAAAAAAAAAAACAAAAAAAAAACAACACTTGGACACTACTCAATAGCGTAAACTGTTAAAATCCTGGATGAACTAAATCTTCACTAAACACATCATTGCAAACACAAATACAAAAGTAAATATGAGATGACTATAGAAAATCTGCCTCACTAATGTCCTCCCCTGAAACATCCGCAACATCTGGGATAACCCAAGAGATTTTCCGACCAGCTTCATACAGTTCTTTGATTGCTGCAATGACCTGTAACAAAAAACAAAAAAGTTTCAATAAAAATGTTGGACATTCCTGAAATTTCTTTACAACAGATTAGTTAAGAAATATGTAATTTTGATAAATCATGAGCGATGAAATCAATAAAAAAGCACGAAAGTAATCTAAAGGATGCATCTGAAGGGTTACAAGGACCCTCTATCAAAATTTCCTTTAAGAAGCTATTTTCTCTGCTGCCTTATTTTCAATGATTACATGTTGAAGTCATGGTAACTTGCAAAGCATTTAAGAGTAGTTTTATGCCTCAAATAATGTTGAATAATGTATACTTCCAATTGGGGAAAGTTTTTCTATTGTCAATCTGGAAATATTTTGGTGACGTTAGTTACGCAGATAGGTCGGCACCTATGTCAGGATCTTGTTGTTGGTCATAATGGGACGGAAAATAAAAACGAATCATAATTCAATTTCCAAATTTGTTAAAAATGTGAATCATAAGATTTTTAAAATATGGCCATAAGTGCCATTAATTTTCCTTATAGTTTGTTTACTTCAATAAACAAATACTTTGATTACATCACTGCTGAGATACAATATTAATTATAAAAATCCTAAAAAAAGCACACCTTATCTTGACCCTTATCCTGACCCTCATCTTTGAGACGCTGATATTCCATGTATAACTGAAGGGCTGTACGAGCATCTTCCACTGAATCATGGGTGTATGACTGTATGTTGATCTCTATAACAAGAAAAAATATCTATTAAATTTTTCCTTTAAAAATATTTCAAATGCTTGAAAGAGATTATATAGTGGTTCTTAAAATATTGAAAGAATTCTGTTTAACTGTTAGCTTTTTCAATTGTAAAAAATATTCAATACTGTAGGTTGTGAACCATTATTAATTACATAGGTAATACAGTAATAGTTCATTTGACAAATGTTCCTCTTTATAATACAGTCTAATAGTCAAAAGTTATTAGCTCCAAAGACATTTTTATATCAAGGCCCTAGAATACAAAAGACCAAGTAAAATGAAATTCAGAAACAAGATTTTAAGAATTATACATTTTTAGTATAGCTCAAGGACTTGTTTTATATATTTCTATACATATTTTAATACTTTCAGTTGGTAGGATCTACAATTGCTTTTCATTATTTTAAAATAATTGTTAGACATCATATTGTACATAGCCATTTCATAACTAAGAATGACAACAGTCATTGCTAACTTACTCAAATAATACCAAGCAAGAAATTTGAGTGAGATGTATCGTTGCTTAGGAAGGTGGTACAAGTCAACAGTGTCCATCACCTGAGCTTTAGGTACCTGAAAATTTGTGAATAATTTATATGTGCATTTGTAAAAGCTCATCAAAGTACAATTACATTAAATAAAATAGCCATTATAAAGGAAAAAATAGATCCTTATAACGACCATAATGAGCAAACAGCTAAACAAGCAGAAAACTGGCAGTAATGTGAATATATTCTTACCAAGATGTTAATAACTCTAAAATCTTTCTTCAGCCCATGGCCAACAAATATGACCCCAATATCTATGAGATATCGCAGCTTCAAGTAGGTTGCTTTAAGTGTTGTCAAATGCTTAGTTGATATACTTGGATCAAGATCACCAGGTTTGATTCCAGAATACTGAGTCAAGTAATCCACAACCTGGTAAAATTAAAATGTAAGTCAATTAATCCTATAAAAAGTATTACAAATCTAGTGAAGGCTTAGTTAGTTACTTATATTGCAGAAATAACTAGCATATCTTATTATTGAACACTTTAAAAAAAGTTTGAGCTCACCTGCTCCTGGGTGACAATGTAGTCATCTATGAAGGGCTCCCCTTTATTGGATCCATGTCTAATTTTTAAAAATACAAATATGTTAAAACATTTGGCATCATATTTAGAGAAACCAAGAAGTTGTTAAATGGAATTAAATAATTAAATTTCAAAATGGTTTTATAAAAATAGAAAAGCTTTTACCCCCTTAAACAGGTGATTCTCGCTGCTGACATCTGAGTAGGAACAAGCGTAGAACGAGTACCATCACTTCTCAGTTCAGCCTCCTCCTAAAACGAAATTTGTTTAACAATATTTATTTCACAAAACTTAACTTGTTCAACTTTCCAAAATTTGTCAATATAATCAATAATAAAACATTTCATTCCACTATGAAATTGCAATAATTATCAAAAATTCAAATCACCTCTTTGAGGGAGACAAACTCTGCATCCAAAGCAACAATATCACCTTTTTTTGGAAGCTCTTCAGGTTGCAAAGGTAGGAATGTTAATTTATGACGCTCTGGATTAAGCAGAGCTGTGTCGTTGAACAGAACATCAGGACTAGACCATGATTTGACTGGAGTGCATTAAAGTATTACAAATAAAGATTAAACAATTTGAAAAAAATTAGTTTAATACAGTCGAACCCGGTTATGTCGAAGGCCTCGGGGTTTGCCAAAAAGCGTCGAGATAACCGATGATCGAGAAAACCGAAAACCAATATGGCAGCAATATATTAACATGTGCTTAAAATTTCTTTATGTACACAATGTACGTTTATAAATGATGATGTACATGCATTTTTTTTTTTTTTTACACAGCATTACCGCGATTTGTTTGATGGAGCGATCGGCATGCTATAAAAATGTACATACATGTTTGTTAACAGCACAAGGCACAAGTGGGGTGCCACTTTTATGTATTATTACGGAATTCCGGATTCGTGATGCTAAATATTTTTCAGCTCCGGATTCGCGAGTTCTTAGTTTCTCTCGCTCCGGATTCACCAGTTCAGTTTATTCAAATTTGGATTCTGGGTTTTAAAAAAAATTAACGTTAGAACGGGTGAAAGCCTATCAAGGGACAAGCGGGTTTGCTATAAATAGAACTGGTACTTCGACCTCTCTTTTGTTTGCAAGCCTCTCGCTCCTCGCTTCTTGCCATGTCAAGTTAATTGCGTGAGACAATATTTTATTTTACTAGTTAAAAATAGGCACGTTTCTGTTGTATATAATTTTCAAAAGCCAGCGATTGGTCATGGGGATCAAGATAACTGAGGTTAAGTGGAAAATTTTGGCCGCCTTTTGTGCTCGAGATATCAGGGTTTAGCAACATAAAAGAATCGACATAACCGAGGAGAAAATGCTAAGACAAGGAGAGAAAAAAAACAACGTCGACATAACAGGGTTGGCGAGTTAACCGAGGTCGAGATAAGTGGGTTCGACTGTAGCATGAAGTAAAAACAAGTTGCCATGTAAAGAATATTTTTAAAAATCATTATCTTATCTCTCTTTTAAAAAATGTTCAAACATTTCCTGCTGTGTAGTTTTCAGCCCTACTGAGAGTTGGTGCTAGAAAACTTTTAACTTTGATATAATAATTTAATGTGAGCTTTATTTTATGGATATTTAATTTTATTTTAAGGTTTATGAGACTTCCATAAAAAGAGTTCATTCTTTGTTAACTCTTACTGTGTCTTAATAGCTGGAAGGGGATCTTATATCTTATAAATCTAAATGTTGTGTTATTCCTTAATAAACTTAACCTTCTGATAAAATACAACACCTAGACAGGTGTTTTAAATCATATTACATATGTTCGCAGCTTGTTTCATATTTAGTGTAAACTTGCTAAATTTTTATTTTAAATGTAAAGACCTGTGAGATCATGCAAAGGAACGTAATCTCTTTGAGTGTAGTGGATGATGCATGGAACATTCCAATCAAGTTTGAAATCAACAGCTTCATCCTGTGTAAACCAAAAGGAAATTCTTAACTATTTGAACAAAAAGGGACTAAATTAGAAGAAAATATATATAAAATAGGAAACATTTGTCAAGATGCTTAATTATTCTTATAAATTCACAAAAACTAACAAAAAGGTAGTTCATAGCTTGCCCCTTAACCAGACAAGGATTTCTCAATACTACCTACTTTTTCCACTGGTGTGATACAGAAGTCATTGATGAGGTACCACTGTGTACATGTCACTCTCTCTTTGCGTTGGTGGTATTTCTCACCCACCTTTAGGCAGCACACAAGGTTGCCTCCAGAGGAGCTGAGGACATGACTGACCACACTGTACAGTTCATAATACCTGACATCATCTTCTTGCTTACTTGGCAAGGGTTCCTGGATTTATTAAAACAAAACTTATGTTATAAAAATTATTTAACAACTTAACTCAATCTTTGAAGGTAATAATTTTGTTTTTAGTAATATATATATAACATATATATATATATACACACATGTGCCACAGTTCAGTACAATGTCAAAATGCATATTTTTCCAAATTTAAAAATAATAAGTTTATCTAAGTCAATTATAAAAATAAACAATTTGCATTGGACAACTTTAGTAAGTGGATTGCTTGTAATCACAAAAGTTAAGAAATCTATACCTCATCTGAAATTTCTGAAACATCAACACTCCCATCAGGGTTTCTGATTATTTTTAATCCCATTGGAATCCAACTGGGTCCAAATTCATCATCTTCTTCTGGTTGCTTTTTTTTCATCTCAGCTTCACATCTTAATGAAAATTAAACTCTTTTAGTTGCAAGTTTACTGCAAACAGAAAAGATTGCTAGATCATAAATGTCTAATTTACTTTGGTTAAGAACAATCAGATGTTAAATCATCTTAAAATTTTTATAAACATACTGTCTAGGTCCATCATGCTGAAAGCGACAGTCAGGCCTATGACAAGCAGTGCCAAATCTGCATTTAATTGCAGATTGTGATGAAGGCCGAATGAAAGTCGTGGAAGGTGCGGTTTCTTTATGGCGTTGGCGAACAACCTATAGGTATTCAATATATATATATATATATAACTGATTAGCTATGAAAATGACATCACTAAGATCAAAATAAATTCCTAGGAATAAAATTTGTACCCATACATGGAAATAAAATTCAAATTACTGAAAGGATTCTTATATCACGAATACTTTTTTAAGGAATAATTCAAACCTGGAACTGGGTTTTCCAGAAATCCAAATTCTTTTCATTCTCAGTGTGACAATTGAGTGCCAAGATGTCGGGAAGATTTTGTATGCTCTTTCTTTGGCACTGTTTATTAAGAAGTTACAAAGAAATAATGTGTGGTTATTTACATAAGGAACTTAATGTTAAAATATTTAAAATTCATATCGATATACTGATTTCTAAATATTAAGATGCTTGAAAAAATTAACACAATTTTACATGATGCTGATATCTGTTACAATTGGAACACCAGGCTTGAATATTAGTGGCAGCTGTCATGCTGTGTTGAACAACTTCTGCAAAGCTGATGAACAGTGGAGAAGGGCTTGGTCCTAATTGCAAAAGGATTTCAAAAATTATTCTTGTACACAACTGCTTAATCAAAAAGACGAGATGGCGAAAAAAGTTTGATAAAATCTGACTGAACAAATTATATCTAGATTAAATTTTAATAAAACTTGAGAAATTTATACCATTATTCCTTATAAATGAAAATAATTTTGATTTAATGAAAGCCCCAGTAGCATGGTAAAAATATAATATAATAAAATAATAAACATGTCTCACCCATTGGTCGGCAATCTGGATACATGAGATTGATGTGAGTACCATCGACTGTTCTTTCACTGGTCAGGCCGCATTTACATTGTAAAGACGACTTAATATTGATGCCAAGCAAGTCTCTGATAATTGATCGGGTCATAGGTCTGAAATTTAATAAGAATAGATAATAGTTATGTTTTACCAACACTGAGTGGTTGGAAATAATTTGAAATATATTTGGGTTCTACCAAGGTCTGTTTAACTAAAATAGTGACATGTATATGTTCTCTATTTTGACTGAAAATGAATATGAAAAAACAATAGCATAACTTAATTTTGAATATTTTTACTACTCTATTCCCTCCCTAAGCATGACTTTTCATTTATATATATTCTGGGTAACTCCTTAAATTACATTGATTTTGTATATCAGTAAGAGGGCACTTGGTTTGCGTTCTTTTATAAAAGGTAATGGTACAAAAGAGTAAGAAATGTATAGTTTACTTACGCTTGTGGTTCATCTGAGCTTTCCTCACAGTTCTCACTGAATGGGACAAAGTAACATTTTAGACTGTTTATCAAATGAGTATTTTAAAGCTATTATTAAATTGTAAACACTGTGTTCATATATATATATACCAAAGGTTTTTAAAAGATAAGAAACAAAGCACATTCTGTACTTTTTATTTTGCTTAATTAATCATAAATATATTGAGTTACTTTTTTTTTTAATCAAGCAAACCAACTTACCTGTCCTCTGTTTCACCCTCAGTACCTCCCTCTTTAGTTTCTGAGTTTTCTGAGTTCTCTGCAGAAGCTTCCTTTAAATTTTTCCTTCCCTTCTTTTTCTTAGACCCTTTTTTATCCTCAGCTTCCCCTCCTTTTGTTGCTACCTTTGTGTCAGATACACCACCATCTACGGACTCCACAGGAACACAAATTTCCTATTAGATGAAAGTAGCAATTTATTATACACAAACTAAAATAGGATATTTTCAATTTCATCAATTCTTTAATTTAAGCATTAGAAATATTCAGCATCAAATTATTTCTTAACATTATACAACTATTTACTTTGTGTTTTAACCTGAAGAAGATCATTTATTTTTGAAAAAAAAATTAAATAGTATCCAAAAGTAGGATATCCAGATAGGGCAGTTCTTGCAGTTTTCCAAAGACCTCATTTGCATTGTAAATACTGCATGTGAATGAAAAAGTTTTTAAAAAACAATATATTTGTATTAATTTAACATTAAATCAGGGAGAAACAGTTCTAGTAGTAAATAGGAACAATTTTTTTTTTATTAAAAGTTTCCCAATAATTTAAATCCAAGAGGTAGCCTTGTTGGTGCCTAAAGATAGGTCAACTATATATGAAATTAAACAAAAAGAAATTCCTTTGTGTTTTCATATTCTGTTTATGGATTATATATGTAAATCAAATGGGGACATATTTTTTATGTGTGTAATTTTCTATTCAACAAAGATAGTTGAAACAAGAAATGATCTCTCAGTCTCTACTAACAGATCTTGCTCAAAAATCAAGAAAGAGACTGTATATAAAATTAATACCATTAAACTAATAACAGATACAGAAACATAAAACAGTTCCATTCCTTTCTTTATAATTGCGATTTGAGAAATAAGAACTAAGAGTACACTAACCTCATGTATTTGCATGAGTACAAATCTCTGCCAGCTTTGAATGAGTCTAGGGAAATCTACTCTACCACTGCTTTCATCAGCATCATGCAGCACCAAACCTAAAGCAGATACCTGAGGCATTGTTCTGAAGGCGCGCAAAAAATTTGTTGCCTGGAAATAAAGATTTCAATTATTACAATTTTTAAATTTATATTCACATTTTTTAAGTCAATAATGGAAGACAAGGATAATTAGAAAAATAGTTCAATTATCTATCCACATCAGATAAAATTATTTTTTTTAAAATAACCAGTGGGTTGAAAAATAGTCAAATATGCAAATTTTGAAGGTATCATTGAAAAAAGTCATTTTGAGTCTAATTACCCCCTTAACCCAGCTATATTTTTATTCATTTTTGTTCACAGACACATTTGTTCAAATAGGAATTTCGTGTACACAAGCAGCAGACTCACCTGACATGTATTTCCTTTCTGTAAGTCAAGCATATGAAACAGGAATCCAAGCTCACAGGAAAGACAGAATTCCCTCTCACACACATGGCCCAATAAGGCACAACGTAATGGCTCAATGTAATACAAAACCTAGAAAAATATAGCAAGTTCTGTTAATGTAATTGGCTGTGAATGCTTTGTCAGCATGTTTTTTTACTTTTTATTACTTAACATAATGGTGACTGTATGAAATACATTCTTTGAGACACAAAAAATTCAACAGAATTGCACACAAAACATTTCAATATCTTGACAAATGTTTTGATATAGTGTTTACCTGAAGCATTGAGTTACAATAGGCATTAGGAATGTGAGGTTCTAAGCCAGCCAGATTGGTTTTGTTGTAGTGGCGGAAATCAAAATCTTCAACCCCGAGCTTGGAGTACTTAATTTCAACTCGTTGGTATCTTTTAGGAACAGTCATAAATGGATCATCTCCTGGTAAATAATTTAGAGAAAGATATTTAGCTTTTAAGCTCCATATTAAGGGTGTCCGGTTTAATAGCTTTTGAGAGCTTCAACAAAATAAAAATAATATAGCAAGCAAAAAGTATATCACATTATGGATGAGTGTTTATCACATAAATAGAAATGATAAATCTCAAAAGAGGTAATTAATTTGTTATTCCTAAATTTCATTCTGTATTTTTAAATGCATAGGTTTTTTTTTAGTCTCTTGTCATGTCTTACTAAATTTCAGGATGAAGACTTTTCAATTGTTCTGTGGAAAACACAAGTAAGTAACTAACCTCTGCCCATTGGAGACTCAGGGATACTTGACTTTCTGTCTTTATTTCCTTTGTCATTCAAGTTATAAGGTATCAAGTTTCTCTTCTGTTTGTTGGTATTTGGTGCATATCCAATATTTTGATATACTTTCATTGTACGCAACACTTCTGAATCAATTGGAAGAGGTTTTCTGCAGAGAATTTTTTTAAATGCTGCTATAATTTACACTAATTTCTTTCCTGGGTAATTTTAATGTCATTTTTTTGTTCAACTGTAAAAGTTTCAAATTAATCTTTTAAAATGGCTGACTTAACTAGAAAAATAAAATTAAAGTAAAATTGTAACTAAATGAAAAGCAAAACTGCTAGATATCTTACCTATATGTCCTAGCCATCATGTGTTCTGGAAAGTCAGAAACTAAAGGACCTTGAGGTGGGTATGGCATTGGGATACCAGAGTATGCTGCTAGTTCATCATTAATGTCAATTGGATCATATGGTTCCACCTGAGACAAGAATAAGAGCTTAGTAACACACACTAACAGCCCACCAAACAAACAAACAAAAAAAGATTAAATCTACGAACTATAAAATTAAATTTTATATTAACTCGTAATTTTAAAGTCTTAACTATGTTAATACGCCTTTTTTCCAAATGAAAAGCACATTTTAAAATCCTTGTTATTTTAATAATTTTTCCATCACAGGTACTTACTGGATCTGCAAACTCAGTGGGCTCAGAGTAAGGATTGAACAAGCTATTAGGACTGGCTGAATATAAATGTACATTTCCTAATAGAAATAAAAGAAAACAATTTTTAAATCGCTAACAAAAGTGGAGTTCAGTATCATAAGTGCAAAATGTTTCATTTTCTTCAGTCAGATGTGATTGAAGTGCTGCAAAACTAAATTGATGCTGGGTTTCCATATGTAGGCCCTCACCTCAAATAACATTTTCTTTGGTTATTTGAAATATATACAAAAAAAACCAGGGTTGAACATTTTTCATACTTAATCTGATAAAAATCAAATAGACCTCCTCTTCCAACCAAACCAATTTGAAATGATAATCCATACACCTTTTTTGACACTATAAGTAAAATGCAGAAATTACAAAAATGTCAGTCATATTGAGCTAATAGAACAAAAATTAACATTCTGTCTCAAGTGGTGTTTAAGCAATAAATCTTTAAAGTGAGTTTGTCCCTTTTTATTATAACTCGTTCATCTACATTTGACATAGTTTTACTGTTTGTGTGGTGCTAAATTTTCTTTAATGATAACTTTAAAGAACTTATTTTAAAACAAAATTTCAATAATGGACTACACTCTGCTGAATGATGAAAATTGGAATGCTCTAATTGTATTTTAAATGTATCAGCCTGGAACCTGCTAATGGCATTATTGACACAACGATAATTTTTCACTATTTTCCATGTTCGCATTCTTACATTATTTAACTATTCAATTTGTAATAATTTAATAGTAACTATTATGACTGTTGGTGTTGTCTTATAATTCTACGCAACTAAAAATGTTAATGTTTATCAATATTTTGAACCATGAAATAAAGTATACTGCTTGTTCCGAGCACAATAGACTCATTTTAGCCCTGGCCATTATCATTGTTTATTACAAAAAACTCAAATGTTCTAAAACTATACCCTTATATTAGGACAGAGTAATAGTTGGATTGCCCACATTATCTTTTCAAACAAGATTTTATAATGTTTAATTCTCTCCATAAATAAATTTAATGCTCATAGGTTGGGCTAAAAAGCAGACTTGCAGATTTTAGTTTTTAAAATCTCTATTATGTGCCCATATGTCTGATAACAGAATTATCAAAAGGGGTGGGAAAGCACATCTCTGCTTTATTTTTCCATTAAAAACAAATTTATACCTGAACTATCTCCAAATCCCAAAGCTTGATAAGTTTGAGAAACATCAAATGCAACAAGATATGCTCCATGAGTATCCACAGGGTATGACAATCTTGTATTTGGAGCACCACCTGTGATTGTTTCAACAAGCTGGAAGCTGCCCATCTATGTTTTAAAGAAACTGATCATTAGGCAAAAGAAGAAGTATTTCAATAAAATTTATTGCTGATAAATCTGCATTTAGTTTTTTTGGAGTTAATTAGCAAATTAAATATGTGTACTCAAAATCTATATTATGAGGTAAATAATTAAATAAATATAAATATCTTTTAAAACATTTTATATTAACAAAAATTCTGATAAATCATTTCAAGATTTTACATATCCATCATGTGCTGCTTTATAAATCTTATAGTTTAAGAACTTGCCTGAGACACTACAATTAGATGATTTGGTATAGTTGGCACAAAACGCAGGAAAGTTGGGTCAATGGAGACTTGAATAGGGGCCATGGCCCTCATCACCCTCATGTCATAGACCATAAGTAGGCGATCAGGTGTCAAAGTGTTCATGCTGAGACAAAATTATTTCTTTAAATCAATTAACTGACAATGATTTATTTAAAAATTGTCATCTTCAAATAAAGAACAATTTTACTTATGAGAAACAAAGCTAAATTTAATGAAATGATGATGTCGACTAGGGTTGAATTGGTCAGTGTAGTCAGTCTAATTAGTAATCAGCTAGTTTCTGTACAGGTGCAAACCTTATTTGACATACCGATTAGAAAATCCACAAGTGATAAGCAAGTTGTCATGGATGTCAAAATCAGATAAGCAGCTGCTATGAGCTTCTAAGGTGTGCTCAGCTCTCATGGTTTTAGCGTCATAAACAGTCACCTGTTATAGTAAAGTTTTATATCACACAAAAATGATGTCGTATGGCTGTGGGTTATGTTGTGACATGACTAATTGATGTACATCAGTTATGGGAGACCATAAAAGCAGAGTCAAAATTATGTCTTCTTAGAACTAAGTAAAAAATAACTAACAATTGTCTTAAGTTATGATAGTGCTAGCTTAAATTTTTTAATAATTTTCTTTTTTACTGTGTTTTTATTTAATATACTGAAAATGTACAATGTAATCAAAAACTTTTTTTGTTTGGATCAATAGAAGAATGTCATCTTATTTTTTTATGTAGTTGCTAGTGACTGGCTAGTGAGTGGTGGGTCAATTTTAGACAAATCAACATAAGAACAGTTGTTATTTATATTATATTAATACAGACTGAGTACAGACCAATTAATGACTGAGTACAGACCAATTTTATGATCTGAACAACTAGAGAGATTAAAACAAATCTGTCACAGTCAAAATGTTCATATCATAATTTAAAGTAAACATGGGTCTTACCTTGCCAACGCTGTCTCCACCACAGATGTATCGATCAGTACTTCTGAAGATTGCAATGCCGGCATCTTTAACTTCATACTAATGAAACAAATGATTAACCTTAGAGATTAACTGTTCTTTTAAAAAAAGGCATAAGGTTTAAAAAGATACAAGATATAGACTGTGTTTCTTAACTAATTCCTAATAACTAATAATGTCAGAATTCTAAAAATAATGCAATCCATTTTCAATTTGCTTCTTACAGCAAACATTTATTTTAAATAAAAGCCAGTAACCATGCTTTTACACAATATAACTTTCACATGCTTCTGCCTGCATAAAATCTATAGTTTACACCTTAAAGGCATCCCTGAGTGTATACAATCTTACTTTACTCATTTTTGCTAATAAGCTCTTTCAAGTTGATATTTTTTTTATTGTAACAAACAGCATTGTTGGAATGACCTATTGCAATAAAGAAAGAAAATCTATAACGTTAAACAAAAAAATTAAATATTATATGAGTTATGAAAATACTGTTTAAACGAATGTCATGGAGAGACAGGAATATCTCAATAATCTTGAAGAATAAAGAGAAATCAACCTCAGAATTTTTTTTTAACCAAGACGACCACAAAAAGAAAGAAAATCATGAAGGAATTGAAAATCACAGACACAGTGGATTGAACAACTAATCCAGTGGCAATATCAATCTCGATTATGCAGGTTAATACAAAAACTATTTGAGAATTCTAAAGTGCAAGGTTATTAGAGAATTCCATGATTAACATGGACTCTCATTTCTTAAGCTGACAAAGGACTGGAGATGCCAATTATTGAAAACATCAAGCTCTAACAGAGGAGCACAGAAGTCTCGATTTAAGGGTGTGTGTTTTTTTTTAATTTTTCAAAGCAAAACATGTCAGCCAAAGCCACAGATTTAAAAAAGCCAAAGATCAATATAACTGTTGAAATAACAATCAACTTAGCATGTTTTGGGGTCATAGAAACATTTCTTAGAAACATCACACACTGAAAAGGATAATTAAATTAAAAATGGCACTTACCACATTACTCAATCGATTCTGAATGATGTCTACTTCAAGGACTTGCTTGTGATGACCAGCAATAAGAACTGAAGTGTCCCCTCTCATCATCATACAGGTCATGTCATGAAGATGCTCATCTCTGATAAAGGAAAATTCTTTCTTGTTAAAAATACTAAGATATACAACCATTGATGAAAAGAAAAGCATGCTTAATAAATAAAATTAGCTCTAGTTTACATGCTTTTAAACAGCTATTTGAAGTGCTTTTTCTAATATTGCCTTAGAAATAAAGGGTTTTTATTACAATATCAATTTTTATGATTAATAAATTGATTGCGAGTGATTTTTTTTAAAAAGTAAACTAGTCAGAGTTAACATTAAGTTTGTGCAAATCTAGATCATTAGAGGTCCCTGTAAGACTGCTTTTAAAACCAAAGCTTTGTAAATTCTATTCTTGAATTAAACCTAAGTACACTACAGGCCAAGTTGGTTTTATATTTTATAAAGAAAGATGATCTCTTATAGATATTTTGCTTCTGGTGCGTCCTGCTTCCTGTTCAATACCCACCCCTACCCCAACTCAACGTTTTATATTAATAGTACTGAGTGGAAAAATCTGCAACTCTCATGCAGCGAGCTTCATGCGTGACATCCTAACTGCGGTAAATATGTTGATATTTTTCTTTAGAAGGGAATTTTCTTTTTTTAAATGTCACTGTTTTTTCCACATCTTTGCTTGGGCTGCACACCACACAGAACTGGCTCATGAACCATCCTTTCACTTTGGGCATGCGTACACCTGTGAGTCTTTTCTGTAGCCTGGTACAGGTAGATATTGCCGTTTTCAATATACTGCTACTTTTGTTTCGCAAGTCTTTGTTATAAAATGAACTATATTTTTTGTACAATGCATGTTCCTAGGTTAAATTTTAAGAGAGTTAACACTGAATATTACTTTTAAATTAAACCAAAGTTGCAATTACATTTGTACATTCTGTTCTGTTTTATGGTTTATCTCTTGTTTATTATATTGAAGTAAAATAATCTACCACAATTACCAGATGACACTTATGTAGACTTGCCCATTTTCACCATGGTCCCAGTCAGAAGGGCACATGCCCAAATGGCTACAGGATCGGGATGATGAAGTAAATAATACCTTTCTTTAAAAAACTGGTACCACTACTTTAAGCTCTTATAGGTTTAAAATTGTCAAATCTAGATAAAATTCTGATAAAGTTGAGAAAATTAAAGCTTTCTTCATGCTATTGAAAAGATATTCTGAATTTGGGATTAAACTACAAAGAAACAATTGCTTCAGGTTTAAATATTGTGCAGAATTTAACTAATAGTTTATAAAATTTGCATAAAAACATTCTGGGCCATCCTTATTTCTGGTAATAAAATGAAAAAATTTTTAAGGTAACTTTGACGTAGCTTATAATATACATCACAGGCAAGTGGAACATATTGTGGACAAAAATATTATCGTTACTACTTCTACGGAGCAATATCCAGCAAATTCACTTTGAACATTATGACATTATTCCTACAAAACATTGATATTTTACCAGCATTATAGATATAGATTTCTAATGACAGAATTTCATGAAAAGTATAACAAAATGTGTAAAATTTATGTATGTACTTTCTGCAGAGACGACCCCCCCCCTCCCACACACTCGCATACCATACGCACTTGAACTCAAAACCGCCAAAATTGTTAAATCCACACTCAGTGCATAGGTACTATATATATATGGCCCCTAATCACACAAATGCAACAACAAAATAAATACAATATTGTTGCTAGGTGCAAGAAAAAAAATGTTTTTTTACTTGAATGTAAATACACTTAGTCCTCGTCTCAGTGTGCCTCTCAACAGACTTGGTGTAAGAGAAAGGACCCCTTGAGGAAAAGAAAGGTTCATTCTCACATCCTCTTCAAAATTAACTCTAAAAGCTGAATATTTGAAGAAGTCTGTTCCATAATAAGAAGCAACATAACCCTGAAAGTAATTGAAATTTATTATTAAAAACTGCTTTCAAAGTATAAACCCAATTAATAAAACTTAATAAATTCCACATGCTACATGACGCTCTCGATCTGTAATGTACTTGATACAAAACTTCTATTACAATGGAACTTTTCAGGACCGCTCCTAAATTATAGCAACAAAGCTACTGTTCAAAAAAGAAGCCAAGCACATCGCGACGCTCACTTTAGTATTCTGTTATAACATACTGTCTGATGTTATTTCAATTATCACACAGTTGTTAAAATATTGATAGTTCAATTAAAGTAAACGTTTTGAGGCTAGTCCTCTAAAGCATTGGATAAATTTAGATAGTGCGACCCATGATAAAAATGTATTAATTATAGTGACATTTTTTTAATATTCTGGGGTGCACATTTGTCTTCTGAAGAAGAATAAAAAATTAAAATGTACAATAACTAAGCAAATATTTTTAATCATTTTTTTAAATATGTTAAAGAAAGTTTATGAAATTCTTACCCTTTGATTTCCAGCCCATAAAAGTTCTTGGTGTCCATCAAAATTTACACAAGTTATACTTGCATTTGCAGTCTTATCCATCATCTGACATCCCATTGGACTGGAATATGCAAAATGATATCAAAGAATCCAAATATAATAATGCACATTGCATTTTGTCACATTAATATTTAATAAAGTGAACACAAAGTTAATCTTAAGAATATTAGTAACACTTACATATAATCCCCTTCCCTGAGATCTTGTAAGGCGGGATCTCCATACATCTGCATAATATGGTGTTGCGAATATGCATCGCCACCACCCAGCATGTGACCATCCATCTGATTCATTAAGTTAGGGTCTCCCATCAAAGCTTGCATTCCCAATGTATTGTGATCCATATATCCACCCATCATGCCCTGGTGATCACGACTGTGCCTGAAATCATGATGAGAAAGACCCTGGTCATGATGACCGAAATCTTGATGATAATCTGAGACCACCTGGTTCTGCTGCAAAGCATGAAAATCTTGGGCCAGGTTGTTCTGTTGTGGGTGAAACTCACCAGGAGTGGTTTGATTTGGGTGGTGGAACTCATTAATTAATGCACCATGCTGTTGTCTGTGCTGTTGGTGTTGCTGATGTTGACGTTGATGCTGGTGCTGCTGATGTTGTTGGCGCTGCTGCTGCTGGCGGAAATCAAGGTGATGTTGCTGTGTTGGGTGACTGTGATAAGTATTACTACGCTGATGGTGCTGAGGCGGCTGTTGGTGAAAATTCTGTGGTGACATATTAGTCCCCTGGTTAGAATTTTGGAAGCTCTGCTGTAAATTTTGTGGTGGCCTAGACGTTATTGGATTCCCCATGTGAGGATGATAGCCAGGTGGCAGACCTGGACTCTGCATAGGACCTGATTGGTAACCCATGGACATGCTCTGATCTTGACTTGGAACCATTGGATAGCCTGGTGGCATATGAGGATCACCCAAAGGTGGATAACCTGGGGGCATCCTTGGTGGTATTGCAGTATTTGGAAAGACAGGGTTAGGGCCCATCTGATCCCTATGCATGTTTTGAGGTGGGAAGGAAGTAGGGGGTGGCGGCATATTCTGAGTATCCTGGGTATGCGGCGGACGATAACTTGGCAAGTTGGGAAAATCCATACCGGGAGGTCTGAAGATTACCTATGCCTATCCTGGCTGTAACTTAACTAGTTTGGTTGTTCCAGTGCTTAACTAGCATCCATTTACTTATCTGAAAGATGAATAAGAATAAATAATCAGCTGGAAACTTTTAAAATTAAATCATTTAAATCCCTTACATTATTATAAGTGAAATGCTAGACAAATTTTTTTTTTAATTTAGCATTTATTTTATTAGAATATAATAAAGCAATTTTTGTAATTTAATAATTTTAAAAAGGAGTTTTTAGGAATGTATACAAAAACTAAAATGTCAATACCATTGTGTTGGAATATTAATAACAAAGCCTAATGAAATTTTGTCCACTTCAACTTTAAAAAAATATATATTTTAATTAACAGATATGTTTTCAAGGTTTCAGGCAAATAAAAAAAAAAAAAAAATGACATTCTGTTTTGAGAAAGTAAGTTAAAATTAATATAACATTTAGGTTTTACTTTCCAAACAAAATTGTATAATTTTTAATTCTTGATGAACCTGAATATTTGCATTAATATTTTTTTAAAGTTACATGCATAAAACTGCCTTTTTAACCTACTATTAAGGAACCCTTGATCCCATGCACAATCTAGGTTAAACAAATCAGTGATCATGTTGCCCCGGTGGGGGCAAATCACTGTTGCGTGACTAGTATTTTTCATGTTTGAGGGAGGACATTTCTATTTTATTAATTAATGTAATGTTTTCTTTGTCCTCAGAAGTGCACTATGAGCCATGTTTCTAGATCTAATCCAAAATCTATCAGGTTAGACCATAAGATTAATAGTAGGTTTTAGTGCATATAATCTTTTTGGTTGTTTCCCTTCTTGTGGATCATATTGTTATAAAATGTTAATTCCAAGCTTGCTTTTAGATTTATCTAAGTTCAGGAGAGAGTGTTACATCAAGAAAAAAAGACACTACCTTTTATAAAAGCTTATTATACCATCACAACTATTTATGTTTTTAGCATGATAACAGAAGTCATGAAACACATCGCTGTGAAACAAACCTGCCTGGATTTTCTGATTCTTAATTAGAGAGTGAGATAGACAGAAAGAAAATTTTAGTAGGCCACACTATTCCAACATCCATCATAATCCATGTCGATAGTTTATACTTTATTATAATATATATTTTTCTGAGAAGTTGAAACTGTCTTTTGGTACTTTACTACCAATAGCTTCTAGGGAACTATTTGCAGTAGACTACCAATAGCATCTAGAGAGCTATTCTAGTCCAGCCAATCAAATCAAACCGGAACTTTAAAACCGCTTTCAATCACACTGGCAAAAGTATTACCCCGTTCATTTATTACTAGTTTGTGCTAGTAACAACTCCTCGGCTCAATGAATCCTGAAAGAAGTTTAGCTTTAAATTGCTATTTTCATACTTTCAAATATTTGTAAAATGCCATCAAAGCCTTAGAGTTTCAAAATGCTGTCTTTATTAAAAAAAAAGCGAAAAAATTATAAATTATAATATAGACCTAATACAGATAGATGTAATGTAGGATACTGGGGGAAAAGGGATCATAATCATAATCTGAAAAATTATACCCAGCTTCTTTTTTGCCAAGTAATATGTGCACAAATAATAGGAAAATCTGAAAAATAAAATCTAGCTCAGACATAATTTTATTGTAAACATTTTGTGTGTGCCAATAATTATAATTAATATCATTACTTGAAATATAAAATATGGGCTTTAAAATGATTATAATTACCATAGTAATAGTTTTACTGCTAATAGTTCCACCACAAAGTGTACATATTAAAAAAAAAATCTTGTTACTTTAGTTAAATCAAAAAGTATACAACAGAAGCTTCAGCCAATCTGTTTAGGCAGGAACATGACATGGTCATGTGCTCTGTAAATGATTTTCTAGTGGGAGATACGCCTACTGAGTATTAATTACATGATTAAACACTCATTACCTTATAAAGGCATTGATGTTTTTATGTAAAATTTTAATTTTCATTGGGTTAATTATCCATCTACAACAAAAATCAATTTAACATCTAGGAATCGATATTTTCTATTTATTTTTTAATGATATGCAGAATCAATGTTTTTAACGGAACAGAATCTGATGAAAACAGAAGCCAAGATACTCTTAGATACATAAAAGATTGATATACAAACAATAAAAAATAAGTGTAATATGTCTTAAAAATCAGATTTGGAGTGAATTTAAATTTATGAGACTAGACACAGAAAACAATAGTTGGAATTTCATGTAGGGTCTAAGTCTAAGTGTGATTTTCAGTGATGTAATTTTTTTTTAAAGTGATAACCAATACTTAGTACTGTACTACATCAATCTTTCACCAATTAGTATTTTTTGATAGACAACTACTACAATAGTAATAGCCAACTAAAAGCTGCTGGTAGTAGGGTACCAATAATAGCTACCCAGAAGCTGAAGCCCTAGCCTTTTTTTTAGACTGAAATCTTTTTTACTTTCATTAATCATCAAAATTGTGTCAAACAAAACAGTAAAAACAGTGTAGAAGAACATCATATAATTAAAAATAAAATATACTTCATCTATTAAATTCAGTTCAGTATATAACAGTCGCCTGTCAGTGAAAGTCTTTCAGTCTCACTCAAGACTCAATTGAGTAACTGTTCAGTGTCTCTTCTCAGTCTGAGGTCTCCTGTCACCACCGTGTGTCTACAGTCTACATTCTGAATACAGTTATCAGAGCAACTGGATCGAATTGTTTTAACAGTATATACCTGAATGAAAATAGCTTTATTTGTATTAATACTTACTAATTATTTAAATGTTGTAATAAGAAACAGTTTACCCTAACATATTAGTAAAAAATCAAAAGTATTTAAACAGTACAAGAACCTTGCGACCAAATTGATCGTTTCCCTCGGCATAGAGACTAACGAGACTTCAGTTTTATGAATAGTAAAAAATGAATCTATTTTTACAAGACGCGTGTGATTAAAGCTCAGACCAAATAATGTATGATTTATTTTTTTTTACCCATGTGATTCTTTGGATATCTTTTATTTTAAAAACAAACCACGCAGAGTTATTTTTTGTCTGTTTGCTTTTGCGTGGGGAAGGATCTATTATGATATTTAAATATGTTATTTTCACAAAGTAATTTAATCGGTTTAATCCCTAGTTTAAAAAATATATCTCAAGAGGAAATAGAAAAAGTTAAAGATGTTCTAAAAAAGATAGGGCTTAAAGATTTAAAAGTTTTTCCTACCCTACTGTTTAAAGAACAATGAGTTTTTGTCCAAATTTAGTTTATTCTAGGCTAAAGCATTTTCAAATAATATGGGATTGGCAATATTTAGCACTTACCCCTCGAAGATTAAAAAATATATATGTATCCGTACAGGACAATAATGGTTGAAGAATTCAGGAAAATCATGAAATATACCATTGTCTTAAGACCCATTAGTAGACGTGGCCATTTAAAAAATTTAGTCTGCGCTGGACTTGACATCTCTAGGGGAAGCCTTATTATAAGAGAGCATAAGCGGTTTCCAGTCAGAAATCAAGAGGCAGACAGGTGGCTGACTTTTCGATGAATTGATGCCGTGGGAACGGATTTACATCAGCCGCGGTCTGCGCATGGAGGAAAAAAAAACAACAACATAGATCGGTCTGAATGACTCAATAAAATTCAAATAGAATATATCAATGTAAGTATAAATGGATAATATATACTTCAGCCAATTAAAATTATAAAAATATCACATTATTGTTTTATTATTAATTTTCCACCCACCCCCAATACGTACGTGCAATGAGCTCCCCCTTCCAAAAAGTAAATAAATAATAATAAAAACTTGATTTAGAAAACATTATAATTTACAAGACAATTAAATAATTGACAAATGATGTCAAGTTACAGTAAATCAGTCCTACCTTGTTGCTTACAATTTGAAGATTATGCAATGCAAATATATTTCACATATTGTAAGTTTTATCCTGCAATTGCGAATTTTAATACCTAAAAAGACGGCAACATAGAACTGCAGTCTTCTGTACCGCTGCATGGGTACCATTTCCCCCCTATATTTGGAGTCCGGGGGGTGGGCAGGTTAAGCGAACGAAATTATTATATCAAATTATGCCACACGCATAGATAGCGGTAGACATATGGTGGACTACAGTGCGTTGTCACTAGGTTAAATATTACTGAAGCGATATCTAGTGAGATATTTGTGATAACACAAAGAGCAAATGGATTTCAAAGATTTTTTATGTGACAGTTGGGCTAATTATAGACTCTAACTATTGCTGAATGAGTGCATAATGTACTTAATTTCTGGAGAGACCCCCCCCCCTTTTTCCGGACCATACCCATCCGTACGCAAAAACTAAAAAATCAAGACCGCCCCCCCCCCCCCAGAAGTAAATACGTAACAGGCCCGGATAGATCACAACAAGGATTTGGTGGAGAAGGCCAGAGCCCCACATGGACTGTAGTGCATTGATGAATAAAGAAAGGCATACAAAGGAATAAATTGTGTGTGCAATCCTGTAATTAGAGCCTCATCATATATCATAATATCATAAATATATATACAAGTGAACATTTGTCTGTTTGTGGATATGTTTTTTCCACAAAGGCTTTTAAATGGATTGCTATATCTTGACCAAACTTGGCACATATATCCATCATTATCCGGAAGGAAACCTTAAGGGGTTATGGACTTTTTAAAACATTCCGTTTGGGGCCAGGGGCCCCAAATTCGTTTTTTTTTTCCTTCTATGAGCTTTATAAATAAAATTAACAACAAATACTCCTACATGTATTGTTGGATCTTGAACAAACTTAATACACATACACTTTATTATCCATAATCAAATACCGATGGGTTAGTATCTCATAATATCAATTCTACTGGGGCGGGGGGCCCCAATTCATTTTTCCTTATATAAGCTATATAAATATCAATAGGCTTAGACAACGCTATAGGTCTATGTGAATTGATGTATATAGGCCTAGCTTTGTAACAATACCCGTATGGAATATAGGTGGATTAAAAACTATGAATAATTTTAATGGGATTTATTTTAAATTTGAACTCCATTATTTATCTAAATGATTTTTAGAGGGCCCCCTATCTCTGACATAACTGAAACGGTACTTTATTAAGTGAGCCCCCAACGGGCCCCCTATTTTAATTTAACTGTGCTACAGTTATAGTTTTGAAACTTAATTGTGTACAATTCTTATTCAAAAATAATTAAAAAGAAAATTAATTTTTACACGTTTCTTGGAAGACATTAAATTTAATCTAGTTTGTTCCAGAAGGTTCTATATTGTTCTACGGGGATATATAATGGGATTTAAAAGCTTATTCGAAAAAAAAACGCACAGAGCGTGATTCCATAGAGGAAAACAGGATCCTAATTGAGAACGAGACATTACAGTAAAAAGGAACCCATCTGTAACGAGAACCCATCAGGTAATGAGATCAACCCGGGATCGGGATTCTATCGTGAAACAGGATAATATCGGAAAAGAGGTCCCTAGGTGGAACGGGATCCCACAGAGGATGATAGTAGCCCACTGGGACCGAGATACCGACGGGATCGGGATCCCACTGCGATCTGGATTCCCCCTGGATCCGGAGCCACGAGAAAATGGGATCCCACTGGGATCGGGATCATACCGGGAAACGGGGCTGAACCGGGATCGGTGTCAAAATGGGATTGGAGTCCCAATGGGATCGGGGACCCACCAGGATGGGGAACTAATGCAATCCCGGGCCACGCCGGGTATATTGGCTACTATAATAAAAATATTATAAATAAAAGAGATTGTTTGTTTGTTTGTGGATTTGTTCCACATAAGTTTTTACATGGATTTATGGATGAAGGGTACTGAACTCATAATATCCACCCGTCTGGGGCCGGGGGCCCCATTTCAGTTTTCCTAAAATAAGATATATAAATATTCACGAAGTGAATTGAAGGATCTAGATCTAGATTTGTAGCAATACCCTACTTAGTCCGTATTGAAATATCGGTGGATTTAAAACTAATATTATCCAATTCATTTAGGGCCGATCTAGAGTTTTCTAGAAATTTCGATAATTTAAAAAAGCTATGATAACCGATTTTAAACGGACACATTTTAAATTTTAACTCTATAATTTATCTGAATGATCTCGCACATAATTAAAACGGTACTTTATTAAATATTCCCACCGGGGCCCCTATTGTAATTGAAATTTACTATAGTTATAGTTGTGCAATTTAGTTGTATAATATTTCGTATTTGAAAAATAATTACGCAGAAAAGCAATTTTTAAAGGTTCCATGGAGGATATTTAATTTAATCTAGAATATTCCAGAAGATTCTAAATTGTTCTACGGAGCTATATAACGTGATCTAAAAGCTTATGCGAACAAAATCGCACTTAGCATGATCTTATAGAGGAATAAGACGCTAATGGGGAACGAGATCCAAAAGTAAACTGGAATACATCGGTAACGCGATCTCATTGGGTAACTGGAGCAAATCGGGATCAGGATCCTATCGGGGAACGGGATCCCACAGGGAATGGTATCCTAACGGGATCAGTAGCCCATCGGGATAAACCGGGAATGGGATACCGTCGGGATCGGGATCCCACTGGGATCTGGATTCCCAAATGGATCCGGAGCCACAAGAAAACGGGATCCCACCGGGATCGGGATCACACCGGGAAACAGCATTGTGCTGGGATTGGGTTCAGAATGAGATTGGGGTCCCATTGGGATCGGGGTCCCACCAGGATCGGGGTCCTAATCCCGGGCCACGCCGATTATAAGTATATTGGAACGTAACATTATATAGAGTAGTAAAAAAAAAAAAAAAAAAAAAAAAGGATGCGCATTCATTCCTATTTCTACAGGACAGGTGGGTTGCCGACGAAAAATGCTTCTGCATTTGGATTAATAAAATACCGCCCCTCCGTAAAAAAAAAAAATAAAAAATGCTGCCCGGGGCGAATCGCTTCATCCGCACCCCCACCTTCCTGCACTATACTATAATTATAATTATAATGACTATATTATTATATATTTTAAAAATATGCAAAATAATGCGTTTAAAAAGAAATTTGACGCAAAATTTCCGTTCGATCAAATTTCTGTGAATCAATTTTCTGTCGACGAAATTTCTTTCAAACAAAACGCAGCAATACACATTATTGAAAAAAAATAATGTAAAGAAAAATTGACAAATATATCCAGTTTTACATTTAGTTGTTTAAATAGAGTTTTCCGTATGATAAACTGCTTGTACTGCTACTGCTAGATTGATATGGGTATTAAACGTTAGAAACGAAGTCTTATTTCCCTACAATTGGCAATTATTTTTTTGAATAACAAATACTCCTGGACATTCAGTCGTAAGTATTTAAATTAATAAATTTGATGATTTATCCTTCCATTAGCTGGTACGAAAAACATGCCACATCTGTAGGGCTTACTATGATAATACTATCCCTAAGCCACAAGTCACAAGCATCTACTTAAGTGACTTAAGACTAATGTTAATTAAGTGAAGTCTAAGGCGGAGTCTAAGTCTAAATCACTAAGACTAAGAGAGACTTACTAAGACTAATAAGTTGTTGTGTAAGTGAAAGTGAGTAATGTAGTGAATTGTAATAGTAAAATATTCAAAATCTAAAAATATAAAGTACAAGTTACGGCTAATGGTAGTTGTGGATGCCACGATGTACAGGTTCAGGTTAGGCATAGGCTATGGCATAGGCATAGGGATCGATTTAGGCATTTTAGGGTTCAGGTTAGGCATTGGGGTCGATTTAGGGTTCAGGTTAGGCATAGGGATCGATTTAGGGTTCAGGTTAGGCATAGGGATCGATTTAGGGTTCAGGTAAGGCATAGGTAGGTTTCGACCAAGATGGCGGCCATTGAGAAAATAGTGGCATCCATACTCACCATTTACCCAAGTTACTTTTCTAGACCTTCTATTTTACTAAACGAAGTGATTATTCACAGAGCTGTGCAGATAACGCTCGCCGTTAGTCACAGATTTCGGTCTGCGATAACGCTCGGCGTTATTTGCAGAATGTGATGAATTAAATTATGAATATAAAATACAAAGTTCGTATGTAAGCATCTCCTCGGTAGTGTAGTGGTCAGTATCTCCGCCCGTCACCCGGCAGACATAGGTTCGATTCCCCGTCGGGGAAGTCTCATTTTTATAAATAAAATTTAAAAAAAAAATATTTAATGGTTATTTCGTAGTGTTATATTATAATAATATTCTTCATATAGCTTTCTTATTCTGTTCACATAGTTTTATTATTATTTTCATATAGTTTTGTTACTTATGTTACAAGTTTCAATCTATTTTGTTAGAATGTTCATTCAAGTTTCGTTAAAAAAATGTAAACAACATGAACATGCAGATGAGCCGCATAAACCATGTTTAAGTCATATACAGCTATTCTAACTGTACATTGTGATATACTTTTAGCTCTTTTGACTGTTTAATTTTCTTTGTATAATTCCACTCATAGACTATAACATCCATTTGTTTTTTCTCTAATAAACAAATAATTATTAATAACTTACTTATTCAAATATTTTATATCTCAGAGTTGTGTATTAATGTTTAGCTGAAAAAATATGTCACGTTTTTATTTGTTTCATTTTATTTTCTAATAAGTATCATAATAAGTAGGGACACAATATGCCGCTCCAGAAATAGTTGAAATAACATTTAGTGATGACAATGAAATGAACTTACCGGTACCGTACTTAAAACATATCAATATCATTGACATCAACAATTTTAGCTCTTGTAAAAAAAATGTTGATAATTGAAACAAAAAGCCATACTGTCACTGTTGTAACTATGGGTCGAAATACAAAAAGCCATACTGCCACTGTTGTAACGATGGGTCTAAATACAAAAAGCCATACTGCCACTGTTGTAACTATGGGTCTAAATACAAAAAGCCATACTGCCACTGTTGTAACTATGGGTCTAAATACAAAAAACCATACTGCCACTGTTGTAACTATGGGTCTAAATATAAAAAAAAAAGCATACAAAAATTAATTGGAACCCTGCTGGTCGTAGGATGCATTGCGAGTCTTCGGGAAGTAAAGTTCCCTTGGGGCTATTGAAGCAGTGTTTACAAGTGTGACTGTATGGCCAGCGCAATAACCAGCCAGCTTTACTTTTCCCCAGCTAAGGCCAGAGCTGGGTAGACTTAGGGACACCCTCAAGGATCAGGAAAAAATACTAGCCTTAAACAGGATTAGATTCTGTTATTATCGATGTAGGGCCTATATGCCCCTCCCCGTCTCTCACATGGCCGCCTGATGGAGACACCTCTCTGCATCATAACACTGTTGCACGGCATGTCAACTATTTCTGACAGAACATTTCTGGACTACGTGATATATCATAGTGCTTTAAAAAAAAAACTAAACGATATCCTATCAAGCTTTGACATCATTTAAAGACATCTCTACAATGGGTGAAAGTGAGTCTACATGAAGAATACCGGTACCATTTTTATTACTGGTATAACATTTAATATGAAATACCAGAAAATTAGCTATGTCTAGGAGTAGGAGGTTTGACTGGATCTATTAGTAACACTCTATAGGTCGAATATGTTGGCCCCTAACAGAGCAGATGTAGGCACAATTAATTGTCCTATATCCAATATATAGGCTATAGTTAGGCCTATTAAATTTTTTAAATTTAACTTGTGCATACCGGTAGCTTCGGTTTTGAGATGTGTTTGTGCCATTCTCATTAACGATCGATCTATCCTACACTACTTAAAACTACACCCCTACCCCGGCTTGGAATGTGATCTTAATTATTTCTAGAAATGTGCGTAATTATGGGAACATTTCTGTCTAACAATAACGCTCTGCATTTTTCGCAGATTTTGGTCTGCCTATAACGCTCGGCGTTATTCGCAGATCTCGGTCTGCCGATAACGCTAAACATTATTCACAGAGCTTTGTGGATAACGCTTCCCTTTACTAAAAGTTTAGCCAGTTTATCAAAATTTATGACTTTTACATTTTAGATAGAGACAGTAATTTTCAGTGGCATAGAGTATCATAGGGGTAGGCTAGTCTAAGTAAACTATTAACGGGTGCAGAAGAGTGCACCTTTTTCTTTATTATTGAAATTTATTGTATAAAGATATTAAAGAGGCAGCTGTGTTTTTAGACAACTCAAGTTGCCAACTGCAGAGTTTTTATTTTGTGGAATCTTGGCCTGCTCAGTTAATCAAAAATGATGTTTTCCAGGTTGAATTGCTATTCAGTGCTATTTAAACAAAACGGCTAAAAGCTATTTTTTTATTGATGTCCGCCCATCAATAGTGCATTGGACCATTTGGAGATAGCGTGACTTCGTTTTTGGTGGTATAGAAAGAGAGGGTGGGCCCTGCTTTCACTTTGTAGTGCCAGACCATAATAAAAATAAAAAGCTACCCTGTCCCTGTATAAACTAAGCTATATTCCTTAAAAAAATTTAGTAAAATAATTCATTATTATTAGAACCTACTCAGTTTTTGTATTTTTAAGGATCGACAATAATAAATTATTTCATCACTACTGAAATGATAGTCATAATTGGCATTTTCGGAGTGCATATCTTTTTTTAGGATTGGTGAAATTTAATGACTTAAATATGTAAATTATGGAAAGGGATGTAGCGTCTCTGCAACTAAACCCCATTCTTCTGAGGTTACCAAATGTTTACCATACAGCTATGCATGGCGAAAAAAATTGAATAAAATTTACTAGTGTCGCCAGAACACAAAAGTTACAATGATGCCGATGAGGAAATTAATAATTTTGTATACAACAATGACGTAGAACACACTAAACCAAAATAATAGGAAAATCCTTTTAGAAACTGTGACACAGGCTTTATCATCATTTTTGGACCTGCGCAGAACCATGCGCAGATGAGTATCCGAAGTACCTAATATTAGATTAATGAGACACTAATAATTTGTGTAAATAAAACAATATATGTTAAGCTTTAATTATGATTAGCAAAAATAAAAATTTAAACTCGGCTAATGCCACTTATGATATGAGCAAAAACCAATAATATAATTATAAATTAAATTTACATTATGTATGTACATACTAAAGAAAAGAATAAGAATGGGCACAAGTCCCTAACAAAACAAAGATAAGAAAATAGAAAGAAAGTGGGTGGAAGAAAGTGGTTGGAAGTAAAAATCAAACAGGAAAAAGATGTTGCAGCTACGTAAAATTGTTAATTTGGTTTATGCCACATGGAGTCAATGTAACACATTTTTTAATTAAATTGTATTCCATATAAATTTTATCGCGTCTGTTACTGGCATAAAATACACCATTAATGGGCATTTCCAATATTCCATCATGGTTAGAACTGTATAAATGTTAAGAAACGAGACAAAGGGCTTGCTTATTGATATTGTAAAGGTGTTCTCTAAACCTGGCTCCAAGGTAACAACCTGTCTCCCATATGTATGATTTTTCCGCACTTTCACTTTGATTTTGAATATTTCCAGAGGGAAATTTATCTTATCAGCTTCAATCAAAAATGTGTTACAGTGGCTTCAGTTGCAGCTGTCAGGGCCTATATGTGCTTTAATAGCAGACAGGGTGCTTCTAACAGAAAATAAATAGAGGAGGGTTTTTTATATACCATATTTATTGGCGTATAACACGCCCCCGCATATAACACACACCTCAATTTAAGAAGGAAATTTCAGGAAAAAAAAACTAAACATTATATCGGCATATAACACGCACACATGATTTGCCCCCTATTTTCGGGGAGAAAAAGTGCGTGTTACATGCCAATAAATACGGTATGTGATGTGGTAAAAAGGTCTGCCTTAAGGATTGACCGGTTTTTAAGGACTAGATATTGAGCCATAAGGTTGTGGGGATGAAAATTTATAATGAATTTAGACCTATCACCAGTGTGAGAATGAGGTTGTTTAAACGAGTCCTGTTGGTTGTTGGTTACACCTTTAATTTCAGTTACAACTGCTTAAAAAATTGGCTCAGGAAATAATCTATGTCAGAAAAAAGTACTCTGTTCCGCCGTTTTTTCCACAAAATCCTCATCATTGCTGCAAATTCTTCTGAGTGTAAGCAATTGAGAGAAAGGAATAGACTTTTTACATGACTGAGGATGGAACAATGAGCAGGAAACTTAGTCTTAGATATCATGTTCTTGTTTAATATAATTTTGAAGTCCAAAAAACTGACATTACTTTCATGGAATATAGAAGTAAATTTGTTTGATGGATCAAAATCCCCTATGAAATCAATAAAACTTTGTAGCTATGGTGTATCCATGTTTATAATTCATATGCAATCATCAATATATCTTTTGTAGTATTCCGGGAAAGGACCTATGCAGTGTTCTCTCCACTCATGTTCCAAATGGCCAATAAATAAATATGCATATATGTTTCCATTGCAACACTACTGATCCGATAAAAAAAAATTGCCATTAAGTTCTAAAACCAGTTCTGTCAAATGTATACAAAGGCACTTGTTGGAAATTTAGGATTAGGATTTATATTCAGAAAAAATTAAATAGCATTAAGACCATCAGTGTGAGGAATTGATGTGTACAAAGAAGAAACGTCCATTGTAAAAGGTGAGGAGGTTTTGTTGGGTAAAACCGAAGACTTGAGAAATTTTATCACGTAGCTACTGTCCTAAATATATGACGCGAATTCGCAAAGATTTGCTGGAAAATTGTTTATAAAAAAATCAGAAATTAATTCAGTAGGACAAGAGCAAGCAGAGACAATAGGTCTTCAAAGGCTTCACTCCTTTTGAATTTTTGGTAACAAATATGAACATGGTTAACCAAGATCATTGTCATAAATTTGATGCAGACTCTGGTGATTGGCCAATATGAATAAGATTTTTGGTGATGTCCTTGACAATGTCATTATTTAGGACAAAATTGGGTCATTTGGCCTTGGGATGTTAAAAGTTGTATCTTTTTATTGCTTGGAGACTTCTTCAATGTATAATTTCTTATCCCAAACAACAGCTCCACCTTTGTCTGCAGGTTTTATATTAATGTCCCGACATTCTTTAAGTTGGGAAAATGCTTGCCATTCCTTTTTCCATAAGTTTGATTTATGAAGTGGAGTTTGGCAAAGATTTTTTAATTGATTTCTGTACTTTTAATACAAAGGTTAAGTGTTTTATATTGATCAGGTGGAGATGTGCATGGAGATTTGCTTTATATATTGAATGTACTTAATTTATTTAACATAGGGAGCCATACTTAAATGACATACTATTTATTCCAATTTTTTTACCCCCTTTGGCTTCTGTCAGAAATCATAAAAAAAAAAACGGAAATAAGACACAGTCCTCACAAAAGGCTTTCAAATATGAAAGTAAATAAATATTCATCGACCTTTGGTTTTGAAATAATCAAATATTTGTTATAAATTTTATGAAAATAAAATCACCACATTCCAGAATATTCCACTTAAAAAGAAAATTACAACAATTATGTTCCACAGGTTAGCACTTCTTTCAAACTAATTTCTAAAATTACCTGACTCTTTAATTTTAAAATGGCTTCTTAGATAGACCCATAAAACTTCAAAATATTAATTGAAGTGAAATTAGTAATTGAAAAATGCTTGCTGATCATGTCAACTGGGATGTGAGAATCTCTGTTAAGGCAAAATTTTATTGCTTTCTTATTTAGCAACTTATATAGTTCAGTACAACACCAAATTTGACCTTGGTATATTGAAAATTATTGGTTAATAATAAAAATTTGCTAAAAGGATAGGGGATATTTTTATAAGAATTTTAAATCAGCTAAAACTATATTTTACCTCCAAAGTTATTGATCATAGGCATATGCTAATTATTAAAATTTGTAGTCCTAGGAGTGTGGGCTGTGTATGTAGTCTGTATCCATCTGCAACAGCAGCAACTCAGATGACAAATTTTACAGCAGTCAGTAGATGTGTAATCTAGAGTGAATAAAGCCTAGATATCAATAATATGACCTAATATTGGCTAGCTTTGACAATGAGTTGACTTTTGATTTGGTCAGTTAGGCCTTAAGTCTTAAGTATTTGATTTCCATTTGAGTTAGAGTAAGCCCTCCTAGAACTTAGACTTACTAAGGCTACTAATAGCATAGTGGTCAGCACATGCAGCTCTAACTCTTTGATGGATTAGATGCAGCCTTTTAAAACGATTTATATATATGCAGCACCAAAAATATTCTCTTACCACATAAAAAATCATATAATTTATATAAAAAAAGGTTGCTGAACCTTGGTATAAAAGTACTATAATTAGCCCAAGTCTTAGACGAAGTTATAGCCAGTCCTAGTTAATAATTTCCTGGTCTTATATGTCTAGATATCATTTTATTTGTATAATATCTAGCCAGATGATTCGTCACCTGTAATTTAGTGATGATGAATTCAAGTGTCATCATGTCCCTACATGCTCAGTTATAATTAATGAACTTTAAAGATTTATTATAGGCCAATATATGATTATTGTACTTAAATTTTTTATGCTGCCATGCGAGCAGTATCGCAGACAATTTTTATGTAACTGTTAGGGGCGCAGTATCACAGACTATGGGATTGTAGAAAATGTATATATAACTGAAATCATTTATAACATAGATCTAGTTATTTCTTTTTAAATCTTTACTTCTTAGATGGATGAACTGCAAAAACTTGAGTATCTGTCACTAGTCTCCAAAGTTTGTACAGAGCTGGAAAACCATTTAGGGATTAATGACAAAGATTTAGGTAAGTTCAAAATTTAGCAAATTACTAATTTCTATTGACAGACATTATATGTCAATTCCACTTTTTTTTTTTTAAATTAAAAAATTAACTCTTTAGTTAACAATTTATTGCAGTTTCCAAAAAACTTTTAATGCATGCATTTATTTTTATCTCTTACCTCTTTCAGCTGAATATGTAATAGATCTGGCTGAAAAAAACAACACATTTGTCAGCTTTAAAAAAGCTCTAGAAGAAAGAGATGCACAGTTTTCTGTAAGTGTCAAGTTAATTAAAATGTTTTAAAATGATATGATTAATTTAGGATATAAATAAACAGTTAAAAAAAAATTAATGTATTATGACAAAGTCTCAGTATATATTTTACATCCTGAAATTTGCATCACTGCTAAAATAGTTCTTTCTTTTTTATGCTTATTTTTTCAGGAATCTCTTATTGCAAACCTTCTGCGGTTAATTCAGAAAATGAAACCCAAGACTAAAAGTTTTGAGGAGGTTGAAAAGCATCTAGATCACAAGGAAGATGTAGATTTAAAAAAGAAACTTTTTCCTGGATTAGCCATTCCAAATGACCCCAAAAATAGAGTAAGTGGTGTCCTTAAGAGCATGGCATTTATGAAATATTTGAACTATTATTTGTTTAAATAAAAGTGCTGAAATCAAACACATATCCAGATGTAGTAGTATTTTATGAGCTCCTTTCTTATTGTAAATGTAGCCCCTTCATTCCTTTGAAGTCTAAATAGAGTGTAGCATGTTACAAAACATATGTTGGTTGTTTCTTATTTAGAACATGTTGAGTGATGAGGACTACAGCAGTGAAGATGATGAAAAGAAAGGGTCGTTCACACCAGAATTCAAAGATGAAAAGCCAAGTTCATCAAAAATAGGAAAAGATGGAGATGCTTCTGTAGCCAAGAGCATGATGTTGGAATTAGAGGCTCTGCTTGGCAAGGCATCTAAAAAGAGTAAAGATGTTGACACTGTTGAAAAGAAAAGGAGAGGCAGAAGTCGCAGCCGCAGCAGGAGCCGCAGCAGGAGCCGCAGCGGAAGCCGCAGTCGTAGTCGAAACAAAGACAGGCACAGGTAAGAAGGCATGGTAAAATATAAAGCTGTGCTCTAGTTTTGTGACATGCAACGCATTAATTGTTTAATTTGTTAATTAGTTAAATATTTTTTAATGCGACTTATGTATGTGGCATTAAAAATCAAAATTCTTTTATAGAAGGCGAAGGTCCAGAAGCAGGCACAGATCTCGTAGCAGATCACCCAGAAGTCGTTACCGCCACAAAAGTAAGTCTCGGTCACGAAGCAGGGACAGGGGTCGTAGAGATAAAGATCGCAATATAAGAGATTCTGACAAAATGAAAGGAAAAGACAAGTACAATGATATCCCCTTGGAGCCTCTAGTTGGAGCTGTAAGTAAATGCTGACTATTGCTCTTATTGAAAAATGCCTTTTGTTTTGAATTCTTTATTTGATCACAGAATTATTGGTAATATGGATCATGTGTTTGCTAAAACTCATTTGATAAGCAAATTTTTCCTGTTTCAATTTTTAATTGAGCCAAGTAATAAGTTGGCATAAAATATGGATGCATCAGGAGAAAAAGGCATCATTAACATTTGATTACACTGATTACCATCTTCAGACATCTTTATGCAACACAAAATTACAGTTTTCAAAAGAAATTATAATTTAGATATCATTTCGGTTGTTTTTTAAAAAAAATTATTAAATAAACAATTGCTTAAGGCAACAATCTATCCAAGCAAGTCTTAACCTATATAAGTTTGGTACTTTGTTTTAAGTTTGTACATTTTCATATGATGGGAAATTTTAATATTTTGTTTTATATATACATACACAAAGAAAATGACATGAAAATAAATAGAAATAAAACTTTGGGTGCACATTTTTAAAAATTTAAATTGTTCACAGATATATGAGGGCAAAATTACTTCTATTTTACCATTTGGATGCTTTGTACAACTTGAAGGCCTCAGAAAGCGATGGGAAGGACTTGTTCACATTTCACAGGTACAAATTCATTTTGAATTTTAAAAAAAAAACAACAACCAGAATAGCAGTAAGTTCTTTAAAAGTTTGTCAGTTGGATGTAACATGGTAGATCCTTTCCTGGGATAGACTTGGAACAATTGTGACTCAGTCTTTTATTTTGTTATTTTAGATCCTTTCCTGGGATAGACTTGGAGCAATTGCGACTTATTGTTTACCAATGTATATTTACAAAACTAGTTACTTCGGTCTGGATATAGCCACATATTTTATTCTCAATCTCATTGCTCCAATTCAAGGCTCTATTTGATGTTTGGACATTTTATTATGTTCAACACATTTAATTTATATTATGTTTTTGCGGTTAATTTTAGTGTAGGCTTTGAGAAGAATGTTGCTGTATGCCATCAGCTAAGAGCAAATGCAGAGCTCATTTGTCTGGCTTTAAAAGGAAAGAATGTTGAACCAAACTGAAAGAGAATTTAGAGGAAAGTGGTGAGAGATGGAATGGGCATCCAGTTTTGATATAAAATTTGCATAATGTCAATTTTTATTTGTCAATTCTTGAATAGCTACGAAGAGAGGGCAGAGTTACCAATGTTGGTGATGTTGTGAGCAAAGGACAGAAGGTCAAGGCCAAAGTACTCTCTTTCACAGGAAACAAACCTAGTTTATCTATCAAGGTATTCAGTTGTTGACCTAAATGATATGATATTTAAACAAAAATTTCTACAATTGAAGTAGCAGTTTAATGAATTTAGCCAGACAGAAAAAGACAAGACAGAAGTTGGATTTAGTGGCGACTCTGTTATTAAAGACAGGTAAATTGGGAATAATATTTTTAATCATCATCATTGCTAATGAAGAAAACCTGTGTTATGTTCTGAAATTTTCTGTTTAAAAGTTTGTATTTGAAATTATTTTACTGATGGCTGTACATTTTTTATTACATCGGTTCAATTTTTTTTTGGTGAAATATATACAGCTGCAAGGTGCTTTGTTAAGCATCCATATTAAGGGCTCTCTCCCTTAGCCTTAAATTTACCCCAGCTAGTTGTTATAAGCCCATTCATTTAACAAGTTAATGACGAGGGATCTAGAACTTATTAATTAGACTTGTTTGAAAACCTTTTCAGTTTAGCTTGACTTTGGACTATCTGTTAATGCTTTGGTATTTATTTTAAGTTTCTTCTTTCTGAATCTACATTTTTGTCAGTGAAATCCTTAGAATTTGTGTAATTAAGTCTTTAGTGCTTAACAAGTGTGCATAAAAAATACATGTCATGTAGCTAAATAACCTCTTCCCGTGCAACTAAACAATGCCAAGTGAGCAGCACAACCCACTCTGAAACCCACGTATCCACATTTTCTAAAAGGTGGTGAACAGAAAATTTTGCTGCATAGGTCAGACTACTGCAATGATGGCAAGATTACATTCGGGACCTGAACACTTTCACCAAAACTTGACTCGTGTGATAATTTGAAAAAGTGGAGCAAACTCTCCTGCATGAGAATCTTCGATGCCAGGTTGGACATATCTGAACATTTGGAATAAAAAACAGAAACATAGAATGGACAAATAAAAAAAATCAAATATACAACGTCGTCAAGAGGTTTGGTCACATTTCATTATGGCCACAAAAACAATGTCAGAGTCTAAAACTAATTTTTTCCTAGCCCTACAGGGTTGACGTGTAGTAATGTGCAAATAACCGAAAAGCGTTTTAAAAGTTCAGGTTTTATTATTTACTGGTTTTGTCTGTGTTGCATACAGTGATACATACGATTTTATGTCAAAGTAATATGCTTTGAATTTGGCTCATTAAATGAACAATATGTGCATAACAAAGGACTGAAAATCTGTAAACAAAGAAAAATGATACCAAAGCTATTGATTTAACAATATTCATTTTAATTATACTGTATATAAAAATGTATTGTAATGTATATAAAAATGCAAAATCAAATATACAGAAATATACAAAACTATATTAACTTACAGCAAGTGAATCAGTTTATTCTTCAAAAGATGCAAATTTTAATACTCAAACACACACAAAGAGTACAATTTTGTGAGGCTCCTATTACTATATCTTATGGCAATTAAAATTAGCAAATATATCACCTTCAGAAAGAAATTCTATAAATTGTATCACCTGATAGCATTTTGTAGAAAAAATTAGAACATAATTGAATCTAAACAACTTTTTCCCAAATCAAGGTAGAGGTGGATAAAAAGGTGATGTCATTATAAAAAAAAAAAAGGAGGAGGGAGGTAAGGTTGAATGACACGGCTTGTGGTGAACAAAAACTATCTAAACACACAGGTTATAACATTCTGCATGACAGTCCAAAATGCATATGAAATAATCCCTTACTTTCAGAATAAATGTACATGTTCAACAATCCCACACATGCTATCACAACAATACAGTAACAGCCTGTCCAAAAATAGAACTTCACTCATAGCAAAATACAATAATAAGGATTTTCATCCTAATGTCTAATTCTAATCTACTCTAATGTCTGTCTCACAAACTGTACTGGCCTTTTATAGTTGTGATTCAAGCCAATGACCAGTCCTACGTAAATTATTTCAACTCATGAATACAGGAAAAATGTACACTCGGGGCTCACATGACAATGGCGGATTCTCTCACATGACAATGGCGGATTCTCTCACATGACAATGGCGGATTCTCTCACATGACAATGGCGGATTCTCTCACATAACAATGGCGGATTCTCTCACATAACAATAGCAAGCCATGATGTACATGTTCAAAAATCCCACACATGCTATCACAATAATACAGTAACAGCATGTCCAAAAATAGAAATTCACTCATAGCAAAATACAATAATAAGGATTTTCATCCTAATGTCTAATTCTAATCTGCCCTAATTCTCTCACATAACAATAGCAAGCCATGACACAGCAAAACGGCATCTTTGATCTGTTCATAACAGTAGCAAAAAATATGAGTTTTCATTGCTGTAATTTAATCATAAATGTTGTTTTGGTAACCAGTTTCTTTTAACAAATGACTTTTATCAAAGTCCTTATTTTGTTTAAGTGTAATTATAGTTAAAAATATTGCAATTACCTTCACAGGATGTTGATCAAAGGACAGGAGAGGACCTGAATCCTAGCAGTGTGAGTACTGGAGGGGAAATAAGAAATGAGGACAATTCAGCTCGTAATCCTGATAGACCAAGTACTCTCCCTTTAGTAGATGCACCAGAGCTAGAGGATGAGAAGTCTGAAATGAAAACATTTAAGCGCATGTCATCACCTCAGCGATGGGAGTTGAAGCAGATGATGGCAGCCAACTGTATTGATGTCACAGCTCTGCCTGATTTTGATGAAGAAACGGGGCTCTTACCAAAAGAAGATGATTCAGGTTACTAACATTTTATATCTTACTGAATAATTGTTTATAAGAGGAAATCATCTACAATAGACTTTAAAAGTACTGCAAAATGAGAAAGAGATGACATAAATAAATTTTATTAACCATATTGATGGTTAGGAAATTTTTTTTCTCTCGCTTGTGTAATTCTTTCTCATGGAAAAAATAAGGAAATGACAATAATATCCACCTGTTTATCTCATAATATTTCAGAGTTTGCAGTACGCATAATATATGTTGATCCAATAATTTTTTTAATATTTTCATTAAATACCAATTTTATTATTTTGTCACAGATGAGGATGTTGAAGTTGAAATGGTGGAAGAGGAACCTCCATTTTTGCGTGGCCATGGAAGACATTGGGTAGAACTTAGTCCTGTTAAAATTGTAAAGGTAAATAAAACCTATAATTTTGTGTAATATTTTTTGCATAAAGTGGTGTTCTACTAGCACTGACCTGAGTAAAGGGACTTTATGATCAGTAGCCAGTAATAATATTCATGACCTGACATTCATAACACACTGTCAGCATTGAGCATAAAAATATTTACATTTTTTTTAATGTTACAAATGTGTAGACGATACTTAAGACTTAAAGTGCAATCATGTAGCGGATAGAATGTTGTCCAGGAGTATGTCCCCTTCATTAAGTTACAGAAAAAAATGTCAGGGTGTAGGTATCTGTGTTTATTTCGCATAGCCGCTTCAAGTGTGATGTGTAATAAGTAAGAAGTCAAATAACTATGAGACATTTAAAAACTCAGGTTTCTTAATTTATCTGCTTAGTGTGCAATACATTCCAAAAATGACATGAAAAAAATCACTGACTTTCTGATTAAAAATATGTGTCCTAAAAAAATTCCTTCACATCTATCAGAAAAAAAAATTAACTGCCTCCAAAAAAATGTAATAATAATTTCACTCCTATCAGCACAAATGTATAAACTAATTTACTGCTCTGACTCTCATGTCTGGCTCACAAAAAGTGCATGGCTTTTATGGCTGCTTCGTCACCCCAAAGCATAGTCCTACATGACTGAGTTCGCTAATGATCTAAAAGTGAAAATTCTCCCTTCACTCACATAAAAAAAATTACAAATCATGATCCAAAAATACTACAGCAGATGATCTGATCACTCACTTCATTTTTCTATAGATCTGTCAAAGTAACATTATTTCTTTTTAGATGTAGTGAATGCCTTTTTTAATAGGAAATATTACTCTTTAATGAAGGTAGCAAATCTGTTATTTAAAATTTTTAAAAAACAACATTATCAGTGATTTTTCTAGCTTTTCTATTTTCTACCTTTAATCAATGCTGATCTTAGAATTCAATTTAAATTAAAACAAACAAGAAAGAAATATTCAACTGCCGTGATACGTTCATGTGTCCTGTCACATTATAGGGCAGAAATCTCTTTCATCAAATTGATTTTTTTTTTTTGTGTTTAGATTTTTAAGAGAAATAGAATGTTAAATAATCTGCATAATTAATTTTGTCATCAGAATCCTGATGGCTCCTTGGCCCAGTCTGCCATGATGGGAAATGCCCTCCAAAAAGAACGCAGGGAAATGAAGCAAGCACAACGAGAGGCAGAGGTTAACTCAGTTCCTACAGTACTCAATAATGACTGGATCGATCCAATGCCAGAAGGTATGCTGAGACAATAGTCAGGGATATAATTTTGATTTTATTGTAAATGAACAATGATATAACTATAAATTGTTTAATCCTCAACTTAAATCATAGTTGGCCGCAAAAATAAGTTTTACGTCCCAAAGAACTTGACGCATTTTCAGAAGAGTTGATTTATATATAATTGACATATCATAACAACTTTGGTGTTTAAAGTTAAATATATGAATTTTTTTCTTACTTGGATACATTTATTCTAGCTCTATTTGAGTTTTAATTTTCACATAAAAGCTAGATATAAACCTTACAAAATAATTGTGGTAATTTCTTAGATGAATGAAAACAGATATTGAAGTCTGATGTATGGCAATATGAGTAAGCATGGCCTGATCTATGTCCTACACCTTCATCTCATCTTTACCCTACACCCAGACTGGATAGTTGCCCTCCTCCCAAACTTGATATTTGCCCCCCTACCCCTACCAATCTTTGCATTAGCTATTTATTTATAAAAGTGCAATTCAACATTGCTTGAGAGAGAAAATTTCCAGCTCTGTTATTGTACTAGCATGTGAAGATTGGAGCAGTTATTATTGCCAATTGATTTTTACAGATGGTGGAAGAACTCTGGCAGCCAACATGCGTGGTGTGGGAATGGCACCTAAAGAAGAACCAGAGTGGAAAAAACACATTAGTGGTGGTGCCAAGGCCTCTTATGGCAAAAAAGAGAAGAAGTCAATTATTGAACAAAGACAGAGTTTGCCTATCTACAAACTGAAAGATGATTTGCTCAAGGTAACATTTAATCTCAAAAGCAGCTAAATGATTCTCGATATAATGATTACAGCGCATATTTAAAAGACCTGTCATTTTTTGATAGAAGATTTTTATATCTCTTATCAATAACTGACTGTCAAATGAATTTCAGTAGCTTTTGATTTTTTGTGTCACATTTTTGCAAGTATTTGATTTTTAAAAAATAAAAGATAACTGCTAAATTATGGTAAAATTTAAAATTGGCCGCCTTCATAATCGCAGCACAATGTATCAGACTATAATTTTTTTTTTTTAATATTAAAATTGAAATTTGAATGAAGACTGTTCACTTGTTATTTTCATACAAGAAAATGTTTTTTCTTAAATATTGTAAGATCTCAAGTATTTTAAGATTATTTTCTGTTTATTTGGAAATATTTTCAGTTCTCTATAACATAATTTAAATTGTGATTATTACCTCTCTGGACTCTGGTTTTCTACCTGTCAGGCTGTTTCAGACAACCAGATCCTCATAGTTATTGGTGAAACAGGCTCTGGTAAAACTACACAAATTACACAATACTTGGCTGAGGCAGGCTACACAACAAGAGGCAAAATTGGCTGCACCCAGCCCAGGCGTGTTGCTGCCATGTCTGTTGCCAAAAGAGTGTCAGAGGAGTTTGGTTGTCGATTAGGCCAGGAGGTAAGGATTTGTGTTTTCATAATTAAATGAAGTGGATTACTTAAGGCAACATGAAGAACATTTTTTTTTCAAAACTATATGTATATTGATCAAGGAGGCCACACAAAAAGTGTCAAACATTTTGTATCCAAGCATTTTAGGTTTGACTGAATTTTTGTATAAACTTAAAAATATATATATATTTTTTTTTAATTTGTAAAATTTACATTGAACACTTTGGCTTTGGGACAAAAGCTGACTTTTGAAAATCTGATTTCTGTGTCCAGGTTGGTTACACAATTCGTTTTGAAGATTGCACTAGCGCAGAGACGAAGATCAAGTACATGACAGATGGTATGTTGCTTAGGGAGTGCCTTATTGATGGTGACCTCACACAGTATTCCATCATAATGTTGGATGAGGCCCATGAAAGAACAATACACACTGATGTGCTCTTTGGGCTACTGAAACAGGTTAGATGTCAGTTCTATTTAGATTGTCAATGGGAATTTGATTGTCTGGCAAAGATTTAACTTTAAAAAAAAAAAAACTAATAAAGAAAAATCCGGTAAAAGTTGCAAAATTTCATACAATTATTGGAATGTTTTTGTTTTACACAGACTGATTTTACACCTTGAAGGACAGCGGGGATGGCAAATTGTGACCATTTGGTCGCAACATGAAAATTAATTATTGTTGTAGATGGCCATGAGTTCAATAATTTGTATTTTCTATTGTTTCTAATTGTTCAATTTTTCAACAGGCTGTAAAGAAAAGGCCAGATCTGAAGCTAATCGTGACATCAGCCACACTGGATGCAGTCAAGTTTTCTCAGTACTTCTATGAAGCTGTAAGCATAAAATCATATAGACAGTTTATAGTCGCTGCTGTTATTGTACTAATGGTTAAATAATATACCCTTTTTTAATTTACAGGGAATTGATTACAGGAGGGTATCATAAAATGATAAGTTTAACCCTCATTTTAAGAAACAGTTACGAGTAAACATCCTAATAACTTAATTGATTTATAGGGTCAGTGTTAAAAAAATAAAATAATGTGAATAAATGAAATTATATTCATCAAAAATAGTCGTTAAAAAAAAATTATTCAATATTAAAATATGATTGCTTCTGTATTATTTCTCGTGGAGCTAATGGATTTAATGTCAAATCAATTTTATTTGTAGCCAATTTTCACCATCCCCGGGCGAACTTATCCTGTGGCAATTCTCTACACAAAGGAAGCTGAGACTGATTATCTTGATGCATCATTAATTACTGTGATGCAAATCCACTTGACAGAACCACCAGGTGCAGTAAATCTTATATTATATACTTCAAGATTTAAAAAGTTGGCAAATCTTTAACAACATGGTTTATACATATATATAGTTCAACATTTGAAATTGACCATGACCGCCCTTAATTATCATTTATGTGCTTATTCTTAACTTGGCTGGGGGTGGGAATGTGGTCAATGAGACAGATTCAGGCGTGAAATTTTGTTTTGCAGTAAGTGCAGGGGATTGATGGGACATCTGCGACGTGCAGAGTTGACCTGGGCTTTTCTGGCATGTCTTTTGTTCTCTGCAGTCGCTGTTCTGTTAGCTTCATGATGTGTTCGCTTCATGTTGTATGGAACCTTTGTGTTTATACATATTACAGAGTTGAAGGTCAAAGATAAAAACCAAAAAGAAAATTTTGATAAATCAAACAGAAGTTGATTTCATCAATGAAGCTTCTTTATTTAATTTTGGAGGGAATAGGCTGTTTATATATATTTTTAACTAGATTAAATAATTAAAACCTTAAAAAACATTTTGAGATGAAATGTTTATTTTGCTGCCAAACAGATCTTTGCATTTTTTTAAAGTAATCCTAACCCTCACATTTGAATAAATCCTTTCAGGAGACATCCTACTTTTCTTAACTGGCCAGGAAGAGATTGACACAGCTTGTGAGATTCTCTATGAGCGCATGAAAGCCTTGGGTCCTGAAGTTCCTGATCTAATTATCCTCCCTGTTTACAGTGCTCTACCCTCTGAAATGCAGACTAGAATATTTGAGCCGGCTCCACCTGGCTCCCGCAAGGTAAGCCATCCTTGTTTGCATTGGAATTATATATATGTTAGTCATGAACCTTGTAATAACCATTGAAACTTGGATGTTGTATCTCATATTTAAAATTAAATTAAATGTTACATAAATAAATAGCAAAGATTATGAAATATTCATTACAATAATAATTCCTTTTTTTTTGGTTGGTCGAAAGAGGTTCCATGAGCAAGTGGTTTAAATGTTAATTAATTAGTGAACATGAGAATATTTATTTTCTCAGGTTATCATAGCTACAAACATTGCCGAGACATCCCTGACAATAGATGGAATCTACTATGTCGTTGATCCAGGGTTTGTCAAGCAAAATGTATATAACTCTAAGACTGGTATGGATCAGCTGATTGTTACACCCATTTCACAGGTAGGTTAAAAGCTCATTTAAATCTCAGAAAAATCACAACTTCTTCTTTTAAAAGAAAAAATAATAATACAAATTCAAAAGGATGAGCATAAATTCAGGCCGACGGTCTTAATATCGTGACTAGTTCACCTTCGACTGCATGAAATTTTGTCCAAAAAATGTTTTGGTAAAGACATTCAAAAGATTATAAATATTTTTGTAAATACCGGGTACATGAACTTATTTATCTATTTAAAGTGGAGCAATGATTTTTTTGTCTTCATTTTCTTAACTGCTGTTGAATCTTTAAAAACTTAAAAAAGTAAAAATGTATGATTAGCTGATAGAAGGGTTAATATGTATTTTAGTTGACAGTTTTTAATTTATCTTATTAAATTATTTAGGCACAGGCCAAACAAAGAGCAGGAAGAGCTGGGCGCACGGGGCCAGGAAAATGTTACCGCCTGTACACAGAGAGGGCGTACAGAGATGAAATGTTGTCAACCAATGTTCCAGAAATTCAGCGCACCAACCTGGCATCCACAGTGCTCAGCCTCAAAGCTATGGGCATCAACGATCTCTTATCATTTGATTTCATGGATGCTCCCCCCATGCAGACGCTGATCTCAGCCATGGAACAACTGCATGCGCTTAGTGCACTGGATGATGAAGGTTTACTCACACGTCTGGGACGCAGGGTATTTCTTCATATTGCAATCATTTTTTTTTTTTTGGATGAGAATTTGTACAGTTTTAACTGTCTTACGTGTTTTTTTCATCAGAGCAGTATCAATACCTGCTGTTTAGAATGTTAATGATGCTTACCAGTTGAACATTTTAATTACGTGAAGTTTTACCTTGACTTTATTCGTATTATGTGAAGCTTTACCTTTGACTTTATGCGTATCATGTGAAGCTTTGCAGTTGAAAGTCATTGACTTGTGTCATAAAAGATTTTGCATTTTACACATATTTATTTTTTGTAAGTTTAAAAATAAAAAGTCATTCAGGTTAGGACTTAGGACCATTACTTATGGTTGTTAAAAAACAATTAATTATTGTTGCAGATGGCAGAGTTTCCCCTTGAGCCAATGTTATCTAAAATGCTCATCATGTCTGTTCACTTAGCATGCAGTGATGAGATTTTAACAATTGTCTCCATGTTGAGCGTACAGAATGTCTTTTATAGACCAAAGGTAAGCTGACCTTTCAAGTGATCTTATTTTTACACAATTCACACAAATCATAAAGCAGCTATATAATCAGGAGAATAACATTTATGCGGGCCCATTTGAGCTCGTCTTTTATTAAGCTTAGGAGACGTTGGAAGTGGGAAAAAAACATGTAACATATGAGTCTTGTTGCAGGACAAACAAGCTGTAGCTGATTCAAAGAAAGCCAAATTTCACCAAGCTGAGGGAGACCACTTGACACTTCTTGCTGTCTACAACTCATGGAAAAACAACAAATTCTCTAGTCCTTGGTGTTATGAAAATTTTGTACAGATTCGAACACTGAAGCGGGCTCAAGATGTCAGAAAACAAATGCTGGGAATAATGGATAGGTACTTGCATTGAATCTTTAGAAATGCATTAATTTTAATATCTGGTTTGGAGGCAGTGGCGTAGCTAGGGGAGGGGGGTCCAAATTCGAAAGTCCCGCCCGGGCCCCTACTTGAGGGGGGCCTGTCCGAAAATTTTTTAACATAAATAATGTCCAATGTCAAAATGCAGGTGTCCCTAAAGAGGCCAAGCCTCCCCCAGGCCCCCAAATCCCTAGCTACGCCACTGTTTTGAGGTACAGCACCTTTATTATAATATCTCTTATTATTCATAACCTTTTTTTTCATACACTTTCCAATGAAGGTGTTGGCTAATTTTTTATTTTTTTAAACACCCCCTAAAGGCATAAACTGGATGTGGTGTCATGTGGCAAGAACACAGTGCGGGTACAGAAAGCGATTTGCAGCGGTTTCTTCCGCAATGCAGCTAAAAAAGATCCGCAAGAGGGCTACAAGACTATTGTAGACAGTCAAGTGGTGTACATTCATCCATCTAGTGCACTTTTTAACAGGCAGCCTGACTGGTGAGTCCACATTCTTTTTTCTATTTCTTTAAAATACTTGAGACAATGACGGAGTGTAACGTTAATTACTTTTTAAAAGAAAACACTTTCATTCTTATGGTGAATTTAAAAAAAAAAAAAACTTAACTTAAAATCTGGCACTTGGATATTTTAAATTATAGCTATACTACAAAATGATAAGCTGTGCTTTACTAATGACTGGACAATCAGTATTGATATCTGTGATCAAATAATTGCTTAAATTATCAATAACTTACTTTAAGACATTTTTATTTCTAGCACCGGGTATGTAAGCTGAGCAGCACCAGCATCATGACTTTGGTTTTCAATGTCAATGTATTTACATTTTGAATGCTTTAACTATTTATTGCAAGAACATCTAAAACACAACAATGCTACATTTGTTGAAAACAGTGAATGTTAGAGTTTACAGTATTGTTAGTATCTTGCCCTAATTTATTTAAGTGAAACAAAGGCTATTTTTAGCAAATTTAATTACTGTATTTATTGGCGTATAACACACCCCCGCGTATAACACGCACCTCAATTTCAGGGGAAAAAAACTAAACATTATATCGGCGTATAACACGCACTCATGATTTGCCCCTATTTTCGGGGAGAAAAATTGCGTGTTATACGCCAATAAATACGGTATATTAAAAAGAATCTTCGATTTATTTTCATTCGAAAATAAATCCTATCTTGTGTACCCGAATGAGTTATGAATGAGTTATTTACTGTTGGTTGTTTTTCTACTTAAATCTAATCGTTCAATGTTGTCCATCTAGGGTTATCTACCATGAGCTGGTCCTGACAACTAAAGAGTACATGCGAGAGGTGACAGCCATTGATCCCAGGTGGCTTGTAGAGTTTGCACCCAAATTTTTCAAGCACTCCGATCCAACCAAGCTGAGCAAACAAAAGAAACAGCAGAAGATTGAACCCTTGTACAACAAATATGAGGAACCCAATTCATGGCGTATTTCTCGTGCGTTCAGAAAATTCCACACAAAAGTTACATTTTAATTTGTTGGTAATATGTATGCTATGTAGTCAATGCTTAGTAGAACCTTTACCCGAAGCAGGGCCCCTTGTTGAAATTTTCATTGATTAAGATGAGAGCTACATACAGATTGTATGCAGTATTTTAGAAAGGTTGCTTACCCTCTCAATAAGGCTGCTTGATAGGGACACCAATAAATAAGCATTTATTAAAATGCTGCAGCAGTAAAGAGGAGAGAAAAAAATATAAAAAAAAAAAAAAAAAAAAAAAAAAAAAAATTTTAAACGGGTTAAAATGATTCGTCAGTTGCAATTTAAGTTATTTTTGTAAAAACTTATTTCTTTTGTAAAAAAAAAAAAAAACCCACAAATTATTAAGCATAAATTTGTGTTAATCTTTAAAATTTTAAGGAATATTAGAAGGAAAATAAGGTGACTTAAACACTAACCTTGACTTAAGTTTACTTAATAAAATTTGTTTATAATTGAATTAGTTTTCATTTTATTTTGTTACATCATGTCTTATTTAATTGTTATCACATTTCCTTAATTATTAATGTAAAATGGTGATGAAGCATGTTTTTTTAATTCCATACAATGAGACTACCTTTAAGTATAATGGATATATTTGCTAAGCATTACAAATGAAAATTAAAAAATTATGTAAATTAGTCAGAATTATGTTGTTAAATTGTTTGAAAGAAAAAGTTCCAAGCAGTATCTTATGGTGGTAATTGATTTACTTTCTATCTTGTAAAGCACTACATCTGCTTCATCTTATTTAATTAAAACAATCTGGTTCCTGAATTGATTTTGAGCACAGGTGGTCAATTACTGTTAAACTATTTTTTATGCATAGGCCAAAAACTTAAAATATACTAAATTTTAAGTAAGGTGGAAAAGTGATTTCTCTTGGATGAAATCATTAACTGAGAACATGACTATTCCACGAAAATGATAATTGGGTTTGGACATGCTTATTTATCGCAGTTTAACAAAAATGACTTTTTTTGCTTTATTGATTCAGAACTTTATAAGTTTCATTACCCTTATGAATGGAATTAACACTATTTTTTTAATATGATATGGAATTTATGGACCAAAGAAATTTTTTTTTAAATTCACTACATCAGAAGTATTTTGGAGGTTTATTTTAAAGCTATTTATTTAAATTTTAAACTTCAGGCCTTATCAGAAATGCAAGGCTTGTCATAAATGTATTTGGTATAAAGGAGAGATCAAATAAAGAACATTAAGGTTTACAGTAACCACACCTTGTTCATCACTCTTTTCATTAATGGTTAGCTTTACATTTCACTGTCCCGTAAGAGTGGGGTACAGGACAAATCTTACAAAGGTTTTTGAGCCATGCTAAAGATGAAAATTCTGTTCTAAAAACTTTGTTAATAATTGAGAATTGTACAGCTACTTTATTTCAAGACTTGGAAATAAAATGATTCCAGCCAGTTTCGTAACTGACTTCAATTTACATTGAATGGAGCATGTGTTTACTTTAGAAGCGATTACGAAGAAGCCATCATAGCAATTAAATCGTCTACATTTTTAACAGCTAGATATTAAACTTTCATCCTCCAAAAAAATGACCAGACGCAGGAAGATATTTAGCATTGGATTGGTACTTACAATGAGTCTCATACTAGGCACTTTCTACTTTGAGACCTTTGGCCCTGCAAAGATTAGGCAGCTCCAGCAACTTGCTTCTAGAAAGCTCTACAATGACAGTTTAAGAACAGACAGTTCATTTAAAGATAACAATGCTTTGCTAGAAAAAGCATTGTTGGCAGCTTTGCTTCAAGGAGCTTATGGGATGGATAGCAGTCATAAAAACAATGATGCTGGAGATGATATGGAGTTTATCAAAGAGCCCCCAAGAGATGCTGTCATCGCAGATGAAGGAAACCTTCGTGTGAAGATGCCTGGTTTGCACACGGCAGTTGATGAACAGAAACAAGAAGCAGATCCTGAGGCACCGGCTCCAACCGAATCACCTTTCTATGATGTGAATGTGACGGACTGGACAAACACCTCTAAACAAGTGGTGGCTAGTTTTTCAAAATATCATTATATCGACAGGATCCATTACTGGGGAGCTGCCCAAAATGACAGGTTCAGACCTCATGAGGATGCTTTGTTCGCTATACGTCGCTATCAATCCCCTTGGCTTGTTCAGTTCCGTCCTCCTGTTCCGTTGCCTTTCAACAGTACCATCTGCAGTGGGTCACCTCCATTTTTCCTGATAGTGGTTCCTTCAATGCCAAGCAATCGTATGGGCCGCATGGCTATTCGAAACACTTGGGGCAGTCTTGGTCAAACAGGAATTTGGCCCAACAGGAAACTAAATGCAAAAGTTCAGATCTTGTTCGTGGTAGGCTATGAAGTGACTTACCCGAGATTCGATCCAGTAATTCATGAAGAAAGTGAAACCTATCATGATGTTTTGGAATTCAGCATGACCGAGGATTATCGAAAGCTCACAGTAAAAATGCTGGGAACGCTACGGTGGATAAATGAAAACTGCAAAGGTGTTGGGTTTGTCTTGAAGGCCGATGAGGATACATTCGTCAACATTCCGCTGTTTGTCGACTTTCTTTTGCTCTATCAAGGCGCAATGTCAAGAACAGTTCTAGGAACCATGTACAATGCACCATATGTTCGACGATGGGGGAAATGGAGGTTGTCAATATTGGAGTACCCTTTTGAACGATTCCCCTCCTACGCATCTGGAAGTTCATATCTCATAGCGGGTGATGCTCTTGATGATTTGCTGAAAGCTTCAGAGTTTTTTATACCAATCCCAATAGAAGATGCATTCATTTCAGGAGTGTTACCTAAAGCTGCCGGTATCAGAAGGTATCATACCCCATCTATGTCTATGATGGGTGAGGCCGCTTTTTCTAGGAATTTCCCAAGAATGTGTGACTTTTTGGGTACACGTCTTACAATCACTGACTGTACAATGGACATATTTGATAGAATGTGGATGGCAGTCCAGGTTGATTACTGCAGGGCTAGTGGCCGCTGGGGGCTGGAGAATATTGCAGAAAAGTGGCAGTTTAAGAGACCAAGTAACTAAGTATTTACAAAAAAAAATCTTTTTGTTTGCTTAATTAACACTATTGATTACTTGAAGTTTACAAGTTAGAGTTAAAATTATAACCAGTTACATAGATTAAACTTAGTATGGTCTTGGGGGGAAAAAATTAAATGAAACACATTAAAAGCTTTAAGTGCTATATACTTCAGACTGTCTGTATAAGGATACGAAGACATAAACTCCTACCTAAATATGTCCTTGTCTTTTAGGATATTTATAAAAATCATGAATTGAAAACAAAAATTTGGGAAACCGAGTTACTTGTCATTCTTAAATATTTTTCACATTAAATTTCTGTTAAATATTAAAAATTATCCTTTTGGTTCTCTAATAAGAAATTTTAATATAGAAACACCTAAAGAATTTTTTCGTTTAGCATTTTAGATTTCTTTCGTGACAGCAACATTCAAATGTACGCAAGTTGAAATAATGAAACAGAAAATGTGTTCATTTATGATTTTATTGTTTAATTATTTTTTTGTAAGAGAACATAATGAAACCTTTCAAACCATTTCCCATGATTCATATGAGTCAGCTACACAAAATATCTAAACATAAACTCTTAAAAAGCATCTGTCATTTTTACCCATATTCAAGCATGATATAAATAAATGTAATTAATATTCCATAACTGAGAAGAAAAAAATTAAAATAAAACTACCCACACCATGCATTTATATATACATTTTTTTAGAAGGTTCCCTAGAAGTACACCTTTTTATAAATGGAAGAAAGCTAAATAACATTAAATTTGCAATTTTTAGAAGTGAAGGTAAACCGGAACTTTCTGAAATGGTATTTCGGTAAAAGATTTTGAAACAGATCACAGTTTGGGTTTTTAAATCTTGCCGAAAAATAAACTCTTAAACAGTTAAAGAAAAAAAAAAGATTTCCTGGGATTAGCAGCAGTGGTCTAAAGCAATGGCCAATCAGGTGCCTGGCCATGAGGTCTTAAGTTATACAAAAGTATAAATCATTAGGTCGAAAAAAAGTCAAACCAGGTTAAGACTTGTACCAGTGTATGGTGTAATGAAATTTTTAAATCAGTAGACATGAGAATTATCTACAAATAGTATTTACAAAACAACTAATGTGTACATCGCTCCAATTTTTTGTTTTTACCAAAAGCCCTTATCAAATAAAGTTTAGACATTGTTCCTACTTTATTTTCTTTGTTCTTCATCCACTAATTTAGGAAATGTTTACAAATCAATACCCAGACTCATTAAGTAGAATTTGGAGTAGATGAAATAATTAAGTGTTGATGAGGGATATTAATATCAAGTTTATTTTTATGGTTCTTTATTTCAAATTTAGTCTCTGTAGGAAAAAACTAAATTACAACAGCTGGGATTCACACAAAAAAGTCAAAGTTTTGACCACCATAAATGATGCAAAAGATGACTAAATTTCCTCAGGAAAATACAAATCTTAAAATGAAAAGGCAGTGGGTTTTCAGCAATAATGCAGCCCAAATAATGTCTGAGTTATATTACTATCATCTTACCATTTTTGGGGGGATATTTTTGTCCAATTCTCAATAATGATGATTTTTCTGTAAAATATTTTAAGACAAGGCTTTATAATTCTTTGAACTCCTTTGCACTGACTAGCCTTACAGATGCGCTAATGTGGCGGAATATAAGAATTTTGAAAAAAAAATGTATTTCTTTCAGAATATGGGCAAAATGTCACTGACCAGTAATAACTTAAGTTGAATAATTGTGCATAGTAAAACCTCAACTTCCAAATTTTTGGTCAAATTTAAGCTTAATAAATCATCAAATTTTTATCTTAACTTTGCAAGCTTTTATGATTGCATGTGCCAATTAATAGCAACTTTAAAAAAATACATAAAAATTTTAACATACTTTTTGTTTTTATATGCATTGGTCGTTGTTTTAGTTTGAATCCAATACATTTTTCTGAGCACAGATGTTATTTATAGTCCTTATAAAATGTTGGAAGTACAGAGAATCAAATCTGAAATTGAACATAAATATCTTGGCAAGATCTCAATTTATTCACAAAATCTTCAATACATACAGAGAAAACAGACAGCTTCATGTTTTCGATTTTGTGAATCTTAACAAATGAATAGTTATGTTAAACTTTCTACTGTCTTTTGGCAACCTTGATCCAGATTTCTTCCTGTGGATGGGTAACTAAGCCATATACTGGCTGGACCACTTGATCTTCCCACAGGCTTATCTTAAATCTGTTGATAAGAAAAGATTGTTACAATTTAAGTTACAAGATGTAAAAAATAAAATAATTTTTTTTTTTTTTTCGAGCAGACCATGAGGCATTTACTACTAGCTCAATCTAAGTTGCACTATTTATGGAATTCATTTTATTTCTTAAAACGATCTGGGGATTGTGTGACAGCATGTTGTCAAGGGGTTAGGTCCCCTTCTCATCAGCCACAGAAAAAATAAACTTCTGGCCTCTCTGGATGATATGTAAAATATTACACAGGGCAATTGTAACAAATTATGTAAATTTCTGTAAATTTCTTTACTTCTTGCCTTTAATGGCCATATCAATAATTGTAAATGATACTGCTAATTTTTCTCTGGTTTATAGAATAGTGAAATAGCACAGACGTTATTTCCCCACAGATAACTAACTGGTGGATAGGATCATAGTGGTGGTTAATTTATTCCTCGCCTCACATCGCCTCATAACAATGTGTGCACCCAGGCAAACAAGACCCTAGGGTTCCTAAGGCATACTCTAAAGATCGGCAACTCAAGTGTGAAAGAAAGGGCCAATAAACCTTTGTCTGGCCGCTTTTAGATTATGCATCTTCAGTTTGGGACCCATTTGAGCATCGACAAGTTGGAGGCAGTCCAGCTACGGGCAGCATGCTTTGTCCTGAACTGCTGCAGGAATACCTCTAGTGTTGCAGCATGCTGGAAACACAGGGCTGGTCACCATTGGAGGAACGACGACGACTATCCAGGCTCTCCATGATGTACAAGATAAATAATGGGCTGGTCCACTGCTCCAGCATTAAATAGAAACTCGTCCCTCTCCCCCATAGACAGTGACGAGGCCTGACAAGCAGTTCCGGCTCATACCAGCAAAAAGTCAGAACAGGAACTGCTCATTCCTGCCAAAGACAATCAGGGACTGGAACAAGCTTTCAAAAGGAACAGTTGAGGCGACAACACTAGACACATTTGCATATATTGCCTCAGACCTTCCAACCCCCAGTGCATGATACCAACACAAAGTAGCCCTTGTAACCAGTGAAATATCCTCAACACCAGGCACAGAAACATTGCAAATCCCATCTACATGCATAGGAGCCAGAATAATCAATAAATTGATCGTGGGCCCTTAATATTTAGAAGAAGAAGAATTGAAACTTCACATGCCTCAAGACAAATAAAGAGTAGATGAGTAAACCTGTATATTTCTGCAGCTTGCCACTTTTAGTTAAATACTTTGTCAGACATACATTTCTAGCTCCTATAGGACAGTAAGGTAACCATTTCATATCATTAAGTATGGAGGAATAACATTATAACCCCATGCCCGTCTCTTGTTTAGATAGTCATTAACGAGTCGCACCAGTGGTGTCTTGAACTAATTAATCAAATATGACTTTTGACGGTAAATAAGACTTACTTCCTTATCAAAGTGCTGAGCAATATGGCAGACTCTAGATATGAAAACTTGTATCCAGGACATTTTCGTTTACCAGCAAAGCCAAAGGGACTGAAGGTATAGGAAGATCTATTCTTGCTCTGCTCAACACTAAAACGATCTGGATCAAATCTGAAAGATGAGGTTTGACGCTGAATATCAACAGTTCATAAAGATAGTCATTATCAAATAATAATATTTTTATAAATCTCCATGCTAATCTATAATGGTAGTTCTATGATTTCAGAAGTGTCCCTCACAACACCTTGGGAAACCTTTGTGTTAAAAAGTTTAATTTAAGATCTAAAAATACCAACGCTGCCACCTAATTTAATTATTAACAGAAACAGACTAAGCATAGAGGGAATTTTCTAAAATAGAAAAATTGATAGTCTTACTCTAGATGAGATCACTATAATTTTTAAAAATTTGTTGGCATTTTCACGGGAATGCAGACATTTCTTGTTAAAATCAATGTCAAAATAAATATAAAACAACCCACAAATTCTTTAATTCATATTTTTTTAAAAATTTGGTGTTTTGAGCCTGACGGACAACCCCTAAGTTTTCATAACCTTTCTTAAAAAATCTTCCCGCTTAGTCTAGAAAAGCAAAAACATATTTGTTAATTCTCTTTATTTGATGTTGAAGCTACTTTGGTTAGACAGTGAAAAGTATTGTTTTTTTAAGGGTAAGTAAGAGCCCAGAAGTCCAGTGTAGGTTAACTAGTTTCTCAAACATTTTTGCAAAAAGTAAAATTTTAAAATACAATTGTTGAGCTTCATAATGCCAAAGCAAATAATAAATACTTAAACTAATTCTTGGTTTTAAAAAAAAATTTAAAAATTTTTGATTGAGAAATAAAAGGTCAGATGTACAGAAAAAGATGAAATCTTTTAATTTCAATTCAAATAAACAAGAACGACCGGGGATGCAGATATGATTAACACCATGACTTACTTATTTGGTAACGGCCAAAACTTCTCGTCATGAAGTACAACTCCCAGTGCATGAATCACAGGTGTCTTTAGACAACAATAGCAAGTAGGTAAATAGGAAGAAAAAAATTAATCACCAAAACACAATGGCAATGAAACAAATTGACATTTCTTAGGTAAAGCTTGCACTGATTTAACATGTTATACTAATCAGCAAGTTTATAAAAACAGATTCACCGAATGGGACAATAAAAATGGTTAAAAAAATGTTTCTTAAATGTGAAAGAAAACAGCTTTATGTATGGAAAATAATTTTTTAAAAAAAAAGTAAAATGAATTTCAGATTCAGTAAGACAGATTTTCCATTTTATACAAATTATACAAAGAAATCAGGAGGTACTGATTGAGCATTCCAGTGTTAGTTTTTCTCTCTTAATTTTCTTTAAGTCTTCAGAGCTATTGCTAAAGGATTTCCATCAAGACTTACATTTTTAGGGATTCTGTGCCCACCTAACTCTGTGTCAAAGTCTTGAACCCTGGCAGCCCATGGCGCCACTACAGCACAACGTAAGGTTTCATTCAGCACCTGATTCATGTAACTGAACATTAAAATAGGAAATTAATGACAGAACAATGTACTTTAAAATTAATTTAGTCACATAATACTTTACAAAACAAAGAAAGAGATTTGGGATCCTACAAGTAGATCATGTGCCTGATGTTTGTGTAATATAAAATGAATAGTTCATTTTATAGAAAAGTTTTTCCAGGAAATTTATAGATCTTCTGTTAAGCTTATTAGTTCCATGGTCTATCAGAGAAACTAAAGAATTGACAGGCTTACCTCAGCTGACCATAGGTTTGGTCATCAACTACATTTTTGTCCCCCAGGACCTTCTTCAGCTCCTTCAACAGCTTTTCTTGAACATCAGAGTGTGTGGCCAGGAAGTAGATGCACCATGTTAGCACTGTCAGACCAAGGTGTAAGTTGGACGTTTGGTATACATCAAGTAACATTTTAAAATACAAGGCAGAGCTGTTGGCAGTTTAGCTTATTCCAGCTCTAGAGGGGAACAGCTGTGCTCAAATTTGTATCAATAAAACCACAGGAGACATAAAACATCCGGTTACCGGAAATTTGTTTGAAAGAATTTTCATTGACGGAAAATTTATGGAACGAAATTGTGTCAAATCTTTTTTTTTCAGTTGACACGTTAAAATTTTCGTCAAATTTCTTTTTGAAAGCACTATACTATATAGTAAAACAAAATGATGCGTTCAAAAAGAAATTGGACACAACATTTTAACGTGTGAACTGAAAAAAAGATTCCACCAAATTTCCGTCTATCAATTTTCTGTCGACGGATTCTTTCAAACAAATTTCTGGATACGAAAACATCCGGTTATATTAGTGGTAGGCTAATACTCAGAGTTAGTCAGCAGAAATCCTTGAATAAGTATACTCACAGTTGGCTGTTGTGTGAAAGGCACCAACCATGTATGTGATGGTGTCACTATTGACTTGTTCCTCACTAGAGCTCACTTCTAGGATGGCATCTATCAAGAGGTGACCTTGCTCTTTGGCATTGTGAGCTTTACGATGTTGCACCACTTTCTGAACAGTGTTTTGAATGTACTTTAATGCTGGAATAATTTAAATCATTGTTTATAAGCAAGAGAGATTTTTATGGTTTTGAAAATTTAATCAGCGCTAAGATTTGGCTCATATAAAAAACATACGAAACAAAGGAGTGAGAAAAACAGTATGGCATAAAACATAGCCAAAGCTAGTGATAGTAACAATGTTCAATTTAATTATACAGATAAATTTCTATAAAAAATACAAATTCGAGTACAGAAGCAAAAATTATATCAACTTACAGCATGTGAGAAAGGTACATTCCTCAAAATACAAATATTAATTTACACACACAATTATATAACGTCTTGTATAGAGAAAATCTCTCTCTCACTGTCTCTATCTATCCATTTACTAAGAAAGCACACAGCCTATATATAAAGACCAACTCAGAACATTTTAGTACAGAAATTGTGTCACCAAAAGCATTCCTTAGACTACATAAAACGGATTCATTCGAACGTAAACAACCTATTCTCAGCCAAGAAAGGGATGGGGAAGGGAGGAGTGACACAGCACATTTACTCTGTGATGTGATGCCAATATCTATGCCATTGTGGGTAGAGAATTGGTGGTGGCTAAAAATAGTTCCACACATATGCTAGACTAGACAATATTGTGTCAAGATGTTGAACATTTCTCTAAAATGTTTCCCTTTTTACTATCCCATATAAACCTTATCAACATTAATGCAAAATAATATAGGAACAAAACATTCAGTATCCATTAAGTTAATTAAAGAGACTTATTTGTTATCACAGTGTGGCAAGGTGACCAACTTTAATAAAACAGTTCACACATCATAATCCAAAGTCAGCATCCCATGGGTACGTGCCCTTCAACCTGAAAACATTGTGAACCATGTGCATACTCTCTGCACATGTTCTACATCTGTATATAGGGTGTTGGTGTAGTCTGGTACTTTTGATGGATAATTAAGGTGTAAATAATAGAGTGAAAGAGGTGATGTGTTCCTTTCTCATTTGGATGTTTCAAGAGGGGGCACATTGTGTTTTATCTTGATTCATCTGGCTCAGGGGTGAACTAAGTTGTATTTGTATATGTCCTGCGCCCAAGCAGAACCTGTTCTTGCCCTAGGCTTTCCTGTCCTTGGAATCTGGGTTGGTAGTGTGTGGAAGCACACATCTTCCTGTTGAGCCCAGAGCCCCTCCATTTAACCACTCTTTCTTTTTGTTCACTCTGATGATCTCTTAGGCTGTGTTGAGCGATGTGGGTACACTTGGCTGTTTACTGGATGCTAACCTCGCTAGTTTGTGTGCTCTCTCTCACTTCCCTGAATATGTTGTGCTCTGGTATCCACTGCAGGGTTGTCTTGACTGCACATGTTCACATTTTTAGTAATAATGGTTTTACTGTTGTTATTATGAGATCTTGGTTGCTTGGCTGCATGGAGTCTTGATTAGCATTCAGAGAAGACGACATTCTGTTTGTTAGTCAGGATGAGTTGTGAAAACGGTGGACAGGTGTTGTTATTGTGCTCCAATGGCAGTGGCGTCTGCTTAATTACTTCAGAAATCCCATTGCAGAGTTCATCATGTTTGGCCAGGGCACTCTATTTGCTCACCGTAGCCTGCATGTAGGGCTCCTTTAAAAGCTCGATCTGTGTATATTTTGGATTATACCCCCCGTATATGATGCTATGTTTTTTTCTGCAACTCATTGTATGAAATGGTTCCTTAATTTTCTTTCTCTGTTTCATTCTTCGTGTTGTCTGCATTTATAAAAAATTTGTCCATTTATGTATTGTTTGTCTAGTCTTTTTCATCTTTCTATTATTTTGATAACTGCTGCTTCTTAAACTTAGAAAAAAATATCATTTAAAAAAAAATGTATCCTCATCCTACCTTCATCAAATTGCTTAATCCTTGGACTTTTCTCATTTGGAATAATAGGATCTGTTAGACGATGCTCCATCTCCCCCCATGCCTGTTGATACAATTATTAATGAACAGAGATAAAATAATAAATAAGGTAGCATTTTATATGATGCATGAAAATAATACTTTAGTAAATCCTATTAATCTGGTTAATTAAAAATTCCTTAATTGACACACATGAATAAATGTAAAAAATATGATTCATGCAAACTGAGAAATAAACAATCTTATTTAATAAATCAGAAAATTAAATTAGCCGATGAACAACTTGTTATATAAAGTAGAGTAGAACTTATATAATAAACTGTTAAAAAATGCATAATTTTTATGTAACTTGCTAGCCCTAGGATTGTTTATAATTCTCAAATATAAGAATTAATGATTAGATATGATTTCTAGGAGGACTGACTGGTTTTGAATTTGTTTAAATTGTCACCTTATCATAAGCAGTCTTCACACTCAAGACCAGTTTCTCATCATTGAAGCTCTCACCCATAAGTGTAAACAGGGCTGACTTGATTGCAAAACTAAACATGTCTTCAGACAAGGGAATATGGTCCTGCTCACCTTTATCCAGCCATTTTTTTACGACCCCGTTGGAAGCCTAAAAAAATAATAGATACAAATGACAGACAGAAGCTAAGCTAAAAGTTTTAACAAAGAAATGTATTTATCATGCAGTTAATTTTTACAAAAATAAGTTTCACTTAAGAAAATAACTTTATTGCAATACAAAAGTAATTCACTGAAAAAGTGCATGAATAATACATCTTTGACATGATAGAGTGGGGAAATGTATTCATTATCATAAATATAGCCATAATATGCAGGGACAACTTCTGAATTTAAACATCAGTTATTTTTCTACATATTATTACAAGCAACACAAAAAGAACAGTTTTTTTTTTTAAAACTCTGACACAACATACCTTTTGGAAAGTTTCATAATAGCCATGCAATTTTTCATGTTCAAATGCACGATCATAGCACTGCCTACGCTTGCGGCCATCAGCACCATTAGCATATTGGATTGATAATGGTCCTATCATTGGCTCAAAAAGTTTAAACAACTCAGCTGAAGGAACAAAAAAAGGTTTTAGGTTATTACCATATTCTTCATTAGCATGTATAAATGGTTCCCACTCTTTTAAACTAAAATTCCCTACTTTTTCCCCAACTTTTCCCACCTGAGAACAAAAAGAATTCCTGACTATGGCAATGTGGTGTTTTTGTAAATAATATAAAAACAACCAAGACATTGTCAAAATAAAGCAACATTGAAATTGAAATACAACACAAAGGGACAAAATTAAGCAATAAAGGTATATACATGTAAATATGTATTAAATTTCCTAGCAATTGCATGTGTTCAATTTACTTAGGCTTAATACACTACAATGAAAAATGGCGTTCAGGACCATGGGTGTCCGATGTTAATGGGAAAATAGTTAAAAAACACCCCAGAAATTAATTTAGTCTAATACCTGGGTAGCATGAGTAAAAACCAATCAAGTGATTCTTATAATTTTTCTCAATAAAGTGAAGGGAGAACCATGGTCCACAGAACAGGCTTGAGGGACATATTTTAAACAGCTCTTTTCTCAAAAGAAAAACTTAACATAAATTAATTTATCATCCACCTCTAAAAAAGTAGAGATTATTGCGTTTTAATTCAGAATTTTTTAACATTTTTTTGACAAAACAAAAATTAAATACATTCATACAATGAAAGCTTAAAATATATTTATTGATGCTTACTCGGTCTGTCAAACACACTAGCATGTTGTTTGAAAAGATCTGGAGATGCAATGCTAACTGCATAGGTCTGACCCCACCAAAATCCTGTAATGGGTCCAAACTGTGCATGAGTCTCCATTAAAAACTCATGCAAACTTCCTGCTCTGGCTATATCACTCAAGTTACCATCCCTGATGAGTGAAAAGTGGTATTTTAATATGCCACCTAAGAAAAGAAATATCTATATATGTCAGGGAAAAATAAAACAGCTTTTGTCATTACATCAAGAGATGTCCCTCATTTGATTCAATTGATTGCATATTTTTGCTGCAGTTAAATCCTATGAGCATACCTTTTTCAATGCTTGTAAAAAAATAGTGTAGCAAGATATTTTTAGGCTTGAAAAAAAGACATGACAATGAAACTGACATTTCGGCTAAAAGCCTTCTTCAGCAGAAAATACAATAAAAACAAATAAATATTAATAAAAAAGAAAACGTATGTTTTTGAGTAAGTCATTATTGTTACACTATTCATTTACTTCACATGGCTTAAACGCTGCCCCATATATATATTATCATTTCATTACATGTATTTATGAGAACTGAATTGACAAAAAAAAGTGCAAAGTTTTGTTTTCACCTGAAATGTTTCATACATTATGTCTACTTACTCAGAAGTGGAAGGGTCAAGACCTGGGATTGTTGTCACTTTCTTTGAGCTCTAAAAGAAAATATAGGTTTAGATTAATATGTAGCACTGCTAATACTAATAACACGTGAAAATGCTAATAAAGGAGTTATAATCACTACCAGGGCAATTGGGAAGCCAGTAAATTGCCATTTATATCATAGTTTTACAGTTTAGATTAATATATTGTACTGCTTATCACTGTGAAAAGGCCATTAAGCTCTCATATAAAGAGATTTGAAATGTATGTGCGGTATCCGAAACTTTGAAATGAGATTTAAAAACAGTCTCTTGTACATGACAGACAATTTGAAGATCCAAATACTATCGGATGAGGTGTATTGTCTGGGCATAATATTCATTGACATTGAGTCATTGAAAATAATTGAGAATATTGTAGTCAATGATCAATGATTGAAGTGTCAATGGGTTACTAAGTTAATGACAGATAAGTCTTTTTAATTTTAAGACTTTGTTTTATCTTTCAACTTTTACTAGAAAGTTGAAGTCACACATCCATCTAGTTTTATCAAATTTAAATGTAATCGTATTACTGTTATTTATTTTTTAGGCCTAATTTGAGTAGGTTGTACAGTTTGTTAGTTTTGTTAAGAGTAGGCTATTGCAGTAAAAGTTAGTATGCTTAACCAAATTTTCAAACTGTAACGCGATCCCATCAGGTAACGGGACCTAATCAGGATCCTATCAGGAAACAGGATCCTATCGGAGAAGCCAAGCAGTTCCCATTGTTGCCTGTAAAACAGGATCCCACCAGAAACTGAACTTTTACTGTACTAGTTACACTACACTACATCTACATTCAACCTATTACATGAGTCAGTGTAGCAGTTCAGTAGTAGTAGTTATTAGTAGTACTAAGTCTAAGTAGTTAATTTATTAATTAGTAAGTCTAAGTCTAATTTTAGTAAGTCTAATAAGTCAGACTAAGTACTAGGCACTAGGTACAGGTAGTGTAGGGCCATTTCCATTCATTTTTTCTACTTACTGGATAAAGCCATATTATTGCAACGAGGAGAACTGTAAGAAATGTAACCGCAAAAATGACAAAGTCTAGCATTTTTTATTAATTAGGCCTATGTCAGTCTTTGAAAAGACATCTAAAGAATTTGAGATCACTTCAAACTTTTTCTGGTAGATGGTGAGTTGTTCAATTTAGCTGGACTCTTTCTCAAAGGAAATAGCTTTATTCCAAATATCAATATTAAAAAGTTGACCATGACAGATAACAAAACAAAAACATCTAGGCATAATCTCATTTTATTTGTATTTGCATTATTACAACTCTTGAAAATACTTATCATTAAACAATATATAAAATTTCATAATTAGTGGTTTATGTGTGGCTAAAAATGTAATTAAGTTTTGTGAATTAAAAAAAAATATATAATAATCAAAAATCAAAATCACCATCATGTATTATTAATTACTCATAACTTATAGCAACTTATGGTCTTATGGGATACCTAGTGACAGTGGCGTGGCTAGAATTTTGCCGCCCGGGGCAGACAAAGATTTTTTCCACCCCGCCTCATGATGACGGAAGGATGCCATATAATACCGCATGCCTATGGCTATATAAATATTTAAAATATTGAGACTATTATCCATACATATTCATCATAAGAATGCAAACGTTGTAAAATACATTTTCAATTTATTTTGTTATTTCCGTTATATTTTCGGGGGTCTTCTGAATGACAGTTTCCAGTGTGTTACATTGATGAACTAATATGTTATTTGTATTATTATTCGAAAGACGCCCTTATCTTTAACACATCTTATTGCCCACTTCATAACCTTTCTTTAAATTAAAGTACACAGTCCCTAATGCCCCATTTTGTATGGACTAGTTGAGGTCAGTGTTTCTTTCAGAAATCTCCCCCGGGGGGAGGCATTTCAGATTTTCGGGGGGGGGGGGGGAGGCCCTTCGATAAAAAAAAACCCCCCCGCAGTGCTAGCAGTTCCAGTTGATTTATTGTTGGACATATTTTTGCTGGGGGGGGGGCACTTGGCTTTCCCGGGGGGGGGCACTGCCCCCTCAGAGATATAGCTGAAAGAAACCCTGTTTGAGGTGTCAGCACCAACAATAAACTAGAAGAATTCTACAGGCAGGGTGGACCGGTTCACCAATATAACGGGACGAATTCCAGAGGATCACCAGAGAATGCTCCCTACGCTGCTGAGACCATCCTGTGCATGTGAAAAACTGAAGGTCTACCAACGCAATTGAAGAAAGCTGAAGCACTTTCTACAGCTAACATACGATCCAAATGTCCAAATGTCAAATCTCCGGCTGCCAAAGAGAATATTTTATTGTGAGCTTAATTAACCATGAAAAGCGGTGTGCTGGTGGTCAGGGGAAAAAAAAAACTCACTGAAACCGTTCTGCAGAAACCCGGGATCGTGGAAACAAACGACATAGGCCCCATGCATCACGAAGTCAAAATAACAGCTGGTGTAGACTTCAAGAGGAGATCTCGAAAAGCATGTCGTGTCATTATTGCCCGAAGATGTCCCGTTTACCCCTTGCGCACATTGCAAAATAAATTTCCGTGTCAGAATTGGTTTTGGGTTATCCTGTCTCTGGTTAATTTATCAAAAGACTATTTTCAAATCCAAAGAAGCTTATCAGAAAAAGATTTTTCGCACACAATGCATATCTTCTGAAGCTTAAATTTTTATTTTTTATTTTTTGGTTAGAAAAATGCTTACAGTCACTCCACTTGATCAAAGTCATATTACTTTAGTCGGTTGGACGGAAAAGCGAGGGGCCGTCACCAAAAATTGATGTTTAGACACAACACAATTCTGGAGAAGAAGGGAAATATTCGATATTGAAAGATGGGAAGTAGACATTGTTATGGTAAGGTAAAGAAGTAAAATAATTAATAAAAACAGGATTATGAAAGAGAAATACGATTTTTTGCTATGAAATATGGCTTAAATATTAGATTACGATTTAAAATGTAAATAGAACTCATGAGCTTAGCTATTTTGAATGACACTTCATATTTAACTGGTAGTTGAAAAATCACAACATCCATAGATCAGTATGGGGTCGGGGCTTTGGAAGGAGGATGTGGACGGGGTGGTCCGCCCCAAAGGCACATCTTTCATTTTATTGAGGGGCGTCATTTTCGGCAAACTGAATCGCCAGAATTAGCCATTCTAATGATCAAAGACATCTTTAATGCCGCACCAGGGGGACATGAACTAAATTCATTTCAGTTGTGGTGTCCTTGAGGGTATATATTTTTCCTAGCTTAATATTGCCTATTAAGGCTTTTTAGTCCCCAGAAATTTTTTGACAAATTCAAAACAGAAGAATGCATTTTTGCAAATACTTTTTAATTTAATTTTGCAGCATTCTACACTTGGAGAGCAACGGAAGAGATGATAGTTTTTTTTAAAAAATGTAGGTGTCACTTAACCTTAGAAACATCGTGTGAGCCCAGCATCCCCTACGACTGCAGTGGGCCTCGGATATTTTAAAGGCTTAAAGATGTGATGTGGATATTTTCTTACTTATCATCATTCAGTGCAAGCGGGGGGGGGGGGGGGGGGGGGGGCGGACAAACCCAAAAACGGAGCAAAAAGGACCAAGAAAAATCGAGTGACGGCCTTGCATGACCTGCTTGTTTTAGGCAAATATTTTTATATTACTAAATAGTAATGTGGCTTTCATTTATTATTTAAAGCTTTTTGGGTCTTAGCTACATAACTAATAAATGAATTTTCAGAAGGAAAAAAAAAAGGTTTACATCACAAATAAGCATTGCAAACATCATTTTACATGTTGAAAACAAATGAAAAAATACTTATAATAATAACGTACGTGTAACAATTACCTTTGCCAAATATTTCCAAGTTTTATCAGAGTCAAAAAGAAAAAAAAACAACTGTTAAGTTGAAAGGTCTTTATATTTTTATGGGTTATCAAAACGGGTCATTTCCATCAATCGTATATGAACAATAGCATTATGTCAAGAAGACATGAGGTGTTTACAAAATAAAGTATACATTTCCCAATATAAAGTTAATTGAAATTTTTATTCGTAATTTCAAACTACTATAACTTTTTTTTCAGATAAATTACAAATTGCCACTTAAATATACTTTAAACATTTTATTCCCAAATCCACAGAATTTATTTTAAATTTACAAATTAGTAATACGAATTTTTTTCTATAACAATTACCAACAAAAAATGGAATTGGCATGATAATCGAAATGCTAGGTCAAAAAATCTTCCTTTTTTAGAGCTTTCTGATAGATTATCATCTTGAAAAGATTTATTAATTTTAAAAAATCCGGGGCGTCATTTCAGGGTTTTTTTCGGGGAGGGGGGGGGGGCAAAACCAAAACTTGGTTGGCTTGCTTATTACTGGAGGTGCCACAGCACATACCAATTTAAATAAGACCTGCAAATTCAGGAGGGGGGGGGGAGAGGGGAAATGCCCCACCCAAATGACGTCACTGGCAACTGGGAACTAGACGGGACAGATTGTATATTAATTCTGATATTAAAAAGACAAAAGCAGTTGGGAATTTAATTAAAAATAAGCTAATTTAAAAAAACAACAACTCTTATATTCAGGAAACTTTTTTTTTTAAATACAAAATTAACACTTTTAATGAAAACACGAACGCTTTGGATGTAATCATTGATGAAATGTGCACTATTTGTATGCGACCGTTAAATACTTAATTAAAAAATCTCAAATTTTTTATTTTTAATTGTTAATTTTATGACTCAACATTCATGGAATCGAGTAAATTTATAATTATGCTAATAAAAATATTTTTAAAATAATTAATTTATAATTAAATTAGCACCTATCCCTACTTTAAAAGTTATGCTTTTATAATGAAATATAATTTGAAATAGATTGCGTATGTTTGATACTCAGCAAGACCTATATTTGAATTGTAGACCTTGATATTGATGTTATGGTAGTTTAGTACAGTGTTGTTTAAGTCTTTAAATTTTTAATTTGCAAGAAACAAATTAATAAAAAAGACCGATAAATGCGAACAACGGGAAGTAATTCTTCGACTGAGCTGCTCCCCATCACGACCGCTCAGAAGCAAAAATCTGCAAATAACACGAAATCAATTACTCTCTCAGGTGTGCGCATTGGGTTAGCTCAAACAGTGCGGTACCTGGGTGTCTGCCTAGATCGAAGATTAACCTTGGAAAGTCACATTAACATGCTATGCAAGGCGATTTTTCTAGAGCTGCGCAGGATTAGTCACACCAGGCCCTTCATAACAATTGATGCAACAAAGAAGCTGATGTCTGCATTTGTGCTATCACGCATGGACTATTGCAATGCTCTCATGGTGGGTCTTCAAGCTACGCTCCTGGATAAAATTCAAATAGCACACAATAATGCGGCTCGCATTGCTCTTCGCAAACGCAAGTTCGACCATGCAAAAACACTTCTGAGAGAGTTGCACTGGCTTCCGATGCGTGCTCGCATAGAGTACAAAATTGCAACGTTGTGCTACCACTGCTTACATGGCCTGGCACCGTCCTATCTGAAAGAGCTGCTGACGCCTTATGTACCCACTAGACAACTCCGCTCATCCGACAGTGGCAAACTCTCGACACCACGTGTTCGCCTTGAGACTTACGGAAAGTGCACTTTCGCATTTGCTGGCTAACAATTTGGAACGCCCTTCCAGTTGCTCTCAGAAACAACCAGACATTGGAGTCCTTTAAAACCGATTTAAAGACACATCTATTTCGCAAACACCTTCTGGGATGATTGTCTACCATATCTTCCATTTAATGCACATTGGCTGTGTTGCTTAGGGTTGAAATGGGTAGAAAGACTTTGACTTGGTTTGCTTGTAATTAGTTTTTGTAGAGTTGCGTTTGTTTTAATTGTGGTAAATTATAGATGTGGTTGACTTTGTACCGAGCTTCGAGCCTTTGAGGATGAAGCGTGTTTTTGAAATAAACTTTATTATTATTATTATTATTATTATAATCAGGAGGGGGCGGCACAAAGCTTTGCCTACCCCGGTCTTAAATAATCTTAGCTAAGCCAATGTTCCTTATGCACTTTCAACAAATCTATATTAAGTATGGCCTTTGGGACCCTGGGCAAAGAAATGGGGCCCATAACTGCTTTACATGACAAAATTGCACTCGGAAGCTATAC